TTTCAGTATGAAGGTATTAGCGAGTGATTCCGTCGTACTGACGTAGAGAATATTGTCGACGTAAGCGACAAGTAAAATGTAGTTGCTTCCGGCAGTTAGAAGATACATCCCCTGATCGTGCGGTAGTTGTCGAAAACCAGCAGTGAGAAGCCGTGAGTGGAGGTACTGCTGCCAAAGCCGAGGTGCCTATTTAATGCCGTAAAGCAACTTTCTGAGACGGCACACGCTCGATGGGTTAGTAGTGTACGAGTGCGGGTACTCTACCAGAATGAGCGCGTCGACGGGTGCGTAGAGGAAAGCGTTTGCCACGTCGATTTGCCGAAGTCGTAGATTGTGGCAGGCAGCGACACAGAGTAGAACGCGAACACTCGTATGTCGACCGACGGGAGCAAAGGTAAGCTCGTAGTCAAGGCCGAAAGTCTCTGAAGTCGATATTAGTTCCCATGTGCCGCGACTCTTAAGAGCTGCTAGCTCTCTGTCCATGGCTTCGCGCCATTTTTCTCGATGAGGACTCGTAAGAGCCTGTTGAACTATTTTCGATTCAAGTATTTTACTGCTGCTGTACTGTACTGCGACTGCGAATCCAAGGATATGTAAACCAGTTTCTGTAAAATGCGGACATTCTCCGTTTGCACCTGCGAAAATTTCTTCTGACCCTTCTTCCCCCCCAATTTCGTCAGGTGTAACACGGACGGCTTCGTCAGAGACGGCTAGCATTGGCTGCTGTTGACGATCGCGTTTGTAACTGAGATGGACTTCGCGAACGTCATCCGGGTCAGTATCAGCGAGGGGAATAAATTCCGGGATGCCAGACGACGTGACAGGTTCGGGAATGTCTGTTGCGGTAGCTTCGGAAGCTTCGGAAACTGCCTCGTCCTGTACATCAGCTTTGGCTTCGTCAGTTGCAAATGCACGCGAGCCTACGAACAACCTGGCGGGGTTGGCAGCTGCTGCCTGGTGGGCACGAAAAACTGGCAAGGTGAGTCGCTCATAGAAGAGACAATCACGTGAAGGGATGATTTGGTTTGAACGAAGATCCAAAATCTTCCAGGCGTGATACCGTTTTTCGATGCCGAGGTGTACCCCCTATTTTGCCCGTTCTGAAAATTTGTCGAGTGCTACAGTTGGAGGTCGAAACTGCACGACACCCCCAAAAACTCGTAAGAGTTTTGTACTTCCCACTATACGTGTCCACTGCAGGTGAGGTGAAGAAAACTCGGACAGTGATGTGGAAGACAGCAGGTTGTGTAACAGCACGGCATGGTCCATCGCATATGGCCAAAAACGAGGAGGAAGAGCTGCCTGCGTCAGCAGAGCACGCATCTTCTCCTGCAGAGTCCGATTCATCCGTTCTGCTACCCCCATCTGTTGGTGTGCATGTGGCAGAGACTGCTTCCGTTTGATGCCGAGGGTTTGGATGTAGTCTGTGAAAGTGTTACTCATGTACTCCCCTGCGCCATCACTCTGGAATTCTTGTAGTTTCGCTCCAGACTCTCTCTCAGCAACGGCGAGCCATGCGACGAAGGCCGGATGGGCGAGATATCGAGCAGGAAGGTTGGCTCTCCAAACGTAGCGAGTAGATGCTTCAATAAAGGTAATCACGTACTGCTCTTCTTTAAGGCCTGCTTCAGGTATGTTGAGAATATCGCTGTAGACTTTCTGCATCAGTCGATAACGATTTGAGCCAGGAAAATGACTCGGAAACGGGTCATGGGTAAGATTGGACACGTGGTGCAAACCGTTGGGCGAGACTGTGGTTTCATCTCCGTGCCGTCAGGTAAGAGGAGACTGCTTTTATCAAGAACTGTTGCTCGTATTGAATAATTTAAAATCCCATGCGATGGATGTCCTAACCGTTGATGCCAAATGTCCTCTGTGGCTTTGTGTCCTGATGATCGCAAATAGAAGTCGGCGTTAGTATAAAATGAAGAAATGATGAAAGGAGAAAGAGCTGGAGACATGACGATCTCCCCTTCAACGAAATGGGTAAATGGTAACTGAACATTTGACAGTTCTGCTGCAGTTGCAATTGCAACATCTGATACTACTTCTGTTGATGTGTGGGCAGATGGTCCTGCGACAGCTATTGTGTGACTCGGCTGCTCGACGACTTCTTCTTTTGCGGCTTCCTCGACGACGTCAGGTTCATCAGCTGCAAGTCCATTGATTTTGCCCCAAAGTGGAGCTGGAGTTCCTTGAAAAGCGGCACGGGTGTTATAGAAAGCTCGCCAAGCGTTGGCGCCTTCATCGGCAGTGTTGAACTCTCAAGTATCAAGAGCTGTGAGAACGGCAGCTGCAGTTCGAGAAGCCGTTGGTACAGTAGTTGCCCGAAAATCAATGTCAACTTGTTGATAATCTGTTTCGTCGGGATTATCCCAGGGACAAAGAGCAAGGACGCGTTCTGAATCACCAGAGGTGCCCTTTGCAATGAACTGAAGAACGGAGACACCATGCTGAGTAGCGGCGCGACCAAGGTAAGTGTTTGTCAAACTGTGCCATAACTCCTGATCCATTGTATCACAATTGCCTTGTGTGCGAATCTTGTGTGCCAGGAGCTGAGCTGTGGAGAGAAGATTAAAACCAAGGCCGGCGACGATAAGAACGTTGGTGACATGTAAGGAATATCCTGTGTCAACGGACTCGAGCATTACACTCCCGATAGATCTTGCCATGATATTTTGTCTGTTTGCGACTGTGACAGGTATCGGACGACTAAGGGGACGCTGGTTGGTGATGAAGCTAGTTTCAGCGGAGCACATATGCCAACCGCAACAGCTGTCGAGATACCAAGTATAGGGTCCTGAAATGACGCGAGCAAGATTAGCGTAAACTTGCGGTAAGGGAATGCCCTCTGCACTGGTGGTTTCTTCAAGGTGTGTCTCGAAATCGGTTTCTGAAACGTCAACTGTTGTAACACATCCAAAGACCCCTTTTCCTGATTTTGCAGATGGAAAAACCGGTGGACGATGCTGTGATGGAGATGGATTCTGCGGTGGTTTCTGCATCTGTTGCGTCTGTGACGTCGACTGCTGCGTTGACTGATGTGACTTCAATGTCTACTGCGAACGATGATATGGTTGTGAAGTACTGCGACGGTTTTGATGTCGACTGCGACAAGTTTGGTAAGTATGTCCTGGTTTCTTGCAGAAATGACAGAAGGGATATTTCGGGGGAAGTCGTTGCTGCGGTTCTGGATTTGAGTAAAAACTTGAATGTATCCCCTTCTTCTGATTGCGTAGTGACTGCAGGTCAAGATCTTGCTATTTTGCTTGAAGATACGAAGAAATCTCGGCTTCGGAGAGATTCGGGTTCATGCGCAAGAATGCGCGCGTCTGTCGCCACTCGGGACCAAGTCCAGCAAGAAGGACCGTGAGATACATCTCACGAGGGAAGTATCCACCACTCTTCTCCAATTGATCTCGTAGTGTGCGGACATGATTGACGTAATCCATGACATTCTCGTTTGTCATCATCTGCACATTTGTCAACTGCGAAAGAATCTTACTCACTGTGATTGTACCCTTTGCCATGTACACCCCTTTTAGGTGGTTCCATGCAGTTTCAGCTGGTGTAAAGCTTGAATGAAAAGATCGAACGCCGAGCTGCTCCTTTGGCGATAAGTTCCGAACAAGAACCGTACACGCCCCGAGAAAGGCGTGCAAGAAACTCTGCTGCTCCAGCTGTGTTCCCATAACAGGATACGTGAATTCGCCGGTGAAGAAAGGCCATAGCCCGGCAGACTGCGCCAGAAGTTCAAACTCGAAGCTCCATGAGTAAAAATCAACTCCGTTAAAAGGTATAGTAGTCTTGATCTGTGTGCTATTAAGTAAATTCGGCGGCTGAAAAATAATACCCTGCTGTTGAGGTTGTTGATGTTGCTGCTGTTGCTGAAATTGCTGCGTATGTTGCTGCTGTTGCTGTTGCTGTTGTTGTTGTTGCTGTGGTAGTTGCTGAGCAGGTGAACGCCCGAAGATGTAAAAGGGATGTTGCTGCTGCGACTGCGGCTGCTGCATAAAAGGTGCGAAGGCAAACGAACCGGTACTTGGAGCTGAGACTCCATGCATGTAACTTGAGCCGTCAAGGCTCATTCCATTAAAAGCTGATGATATTGACTGAGTTGAAAACTGTGGTGCTGTTGCCTGTTGTTGTTGTTGTTGCGCTGCAGGTGCAGTCGATGAAATCCCTGGAGTACTGACAGAAGGCGGATTTTGCTGCTGCTGCTGCATACCGATGTGCGCATAAGCCGATGGAAACGGTCCAGATGCTGAAAGACCAGTGGCAGTCGAGGAGACAGGTACTCCAGTAGTTCCATAACTGGATCCGATAGATTGTGCTGGTGATGTTCCAGTCATTGTTGACAGAAGTCTTAATTCCAGACAGCTCTCATACCATGTAATAATTTGATAGGTGTTGCAAGAGACTAAGTATAGAATCTGCAAACACGAACACTTGGAAAACCTCAAGTGTTGGCCAAGGATCTTTACTGGAATGGTAGGCTAGTAAGACAGCGGAAGTCTTGTAAGAAAGAACCTGAGCATATATTTTTGTGAAAGTCAAGATTTAAGATTCAAGGTTGATAATAGAAAGACATTGTAAGGATTTTATAGCTCTAGAAAGTACCTGTTCGCTAATGTACATGTTCGTCACTATCGCGCTATGCGCCCTAAATGATGATGAAGAGACACGACTGTTCGCGTGACTGAAACGACTGTCCTCATGACGAGCGCTATTTGCTGACGTCATTCTACGGACTTATCTTCTACAGTAGGATTCGACACTATCTGCCGATAATACACTTACGGAAATGCTAAGTATGAATCATATCACAACAGGTACAACCCCCTCCTCGTATCCCTCTCTTTCTAGTAATTTCTCTTTTCTCTCGTCAATCTTCCTAGCTAAACCCTGCCGCCATTTCCATGGCGGCCTACTCCTCGTATCTAGCTTATCTTAACACCTGCGTGCTAATATGGAAAGATATTTGAAGCTAAATTCAAATGTTGAGGTCACACACACATATGGGGTAAGAGTTGCCGCCAGTAGTACCTATGCTCTGCTTCCCAAATTCTTGCGAGCTACAACGCCAAGAACTCATTCATGCTCACACGAACAATGCTGCACTGCATATTCACACAAACTTAACATTGGAACCTCATAAAATCGTCATGCTCGAAGCATCCTTACATGTAAGAACATGGTATATCCTGTGCGCCATCACGGGACCTATGCGCTCCAGTCGCCTCATCCCAGCAGAGCCACCTTGACTCCCTCTCACATCAACACCAGCATCCGCATCATCATCATCCCACGTATCATCACCAGCACTACCGGTAGCAGTTGTAGCAGCACTCCCTAGTCCCAGCTGAACCTTGGTCACCTTCCCCAGCAGGAGCTGCTTGTCCCGCTCCTGTGATTGGACATGTGGGGGAAGTAGAGACACGCATGCACAGGGGGGGGATAGAGATGGATCAACAAGTGCAAGTGTAGATGTGTGTGTGCGTGCATGTGCATGTGCATGTGCGTGAGCGTGTGCGCGCGCGCGCTTGCGTGCGTGCCTGCTTGCGTGTGCACATGATGCATGCACACGAGTGTGAGTGAGTGCGTGCAAGTGCATGCACAGGCGTGTGTGCACATGTGCATGCACATGTGCGTGTGCGTGTAGTTGCACGTGTGCATGTGCACACTGTCAATGAGAATGATACGGAAAGTGTGAGTGCTGCGCCTGTCTCTGTCGCAAAACAGTGCACTCGCCTCACTGACATATTGCGTGGCCGGTATAAGGAGAGGAGGGGGGGGGGGAGAGCATCCTTCTCCACCTCTTCCGCTGTCTCATAAGTAGTGCAGCTTTCAGTTACTCTCACTCACACAATCACTGTCTTTCTCACAGCACTCGCTCGCCTCATCTCAGCGGCAGGCTGGAGCAGTAGATGGAGAGCAGCGAGTGCATGGTCGAGCACTCTCTCTTTCACCCGCCTCAGAGAAGAGACTCTACAATATTCCCTAAACCTGCACACACTCCGCGCATCTCACCGGCAGGGCAGAGCGGTAGACGGAGAGCAGCGAGTGCATGGTCGAGCACTCTCTCTTTCACCCGCCTCAGAGAAGAGACTCTACAATATTCCCTAAACCTGCACACACTCCGCGCATCTCACCGGCAGGGCAGAGCGGTAGACGGAGAGCAGCGAGTGCATGGTCGAGCACTCTCTCTTTCACCCGCCTCAGAGAAGAGACTCTACAATATTCCCTAAACCTGCACACACTCCGCGCATCTCACCGGCAGGGCAGAGCGGTAGACGGAGAGCAGCGAGTGCATGGAGGGGTACGCCCTGCTGATGCTAATGGCATCTCTGGCCGACACCCCTGGGATGGCCATCAGCATGCTCGCCCTGTGGGGGAAGCAGAGCGAGGGTGTATTTGGGGGGGGTGGGGGTGGGAAGATAGGAAATTCTCTTGAGGCACCTCGAAAGTCTGCCCTGGCCGACAGCCCTGGGATGGCCATCAGCATGGTCACCCTGTGGGCAAGCAGTGTGTGTGCAGGTGGGGAAAAACGGGGATGGGTGGGGGGGGGGGGAGGGAGGGAAAGACGACGAAAGACGTGTGGGTGGAGAGAGAAAGGTGGGGGGGGGGGGGGGTGGGAAGGCGGGGAAGCAATGGAGGCACCTTAACAAGCTCTCTCTGGCAGACATACCTGGAAGATCACCTGGCCATCAGTATGCAAGCCCTGATGCAGTAGCAGAGGAGAAATGCAAAACTGTATCAGAGGAAAAGAAAAACCTGTGTGGCTCTTCTGCAGCATAGCTGGCAGGCAGAGGCGACGGGGGAAGTGCACGCACACATTTTGCAGAAGAGGTGCGAGCAGGTGGAGATGCTGGGAGGAGAGCAACCGAGCACAAGGCTGAAGTATACTCCCTTACTCCTGGAGAATCTACCAACGCACACTCCCTCCCGCACACGATTTGCCCTCCTGTACCCCTCCTTTCCTATCCCTTCCCTACTACCTCTCCCCCACTACCCCTCCCCCACTACCCCTCCCTCCCAGCCCATGCACCATGTGTTTCGCCGGGCGGCATGAAAGAAGGGGTCCTTGGGGTTGGCAGCCCCGCAGTTCTGCACTATGTGCAGGCGGCTCAAGGCGGGCCTGAGAGATGTGCGGTGGGGGGGGGGCGGGTGGAGATGGCGCATGGGGGGGTTGGCGGCTGCTTGAGGGGTCTTTGGGATCAGCAGCCCCGCAGCGTGGTGCAGGCCTGAGGGACAAGGGGGCGGGAGCAAGGCACGAGGTTTGGGGGTGTGGGACACATTATATCCAGGTGTGTTTTAAGTCGAATCAAAACATGGGTGGTGGGGGGGAAGGGGGAAGAGCAGGGCACGAGGTTTAGGGGGTGTGGGGGAAGATGAGAGGGATGCTTGAGGGGTCCTTGGGGGTTGGTAGCCCCGCAGCTCTGCACTATATGCAGAGACAAACAGGCTGGAGGAAACGGGAAGGGACGAGGCCACGAGGAGCAATGCTTGCGATGCTTGCGATGGGTCCTGTAGCCGCAAAACTGCCACTAAATGCTTCCTATCAAACCACATTCAGCAGCTGACGCAACCCACCACTCATTCACTTCCCACCCAACCACAGGGAAAGAACTAACCTTACACACTTCACGCCTTGGTGTTGCCTCGGCCAACCACTCCCTCCACAACCCCCACAACCCCCACAACCCCCACAATCCCCACAACCTGTGCATCTTCTCTCGCATCTTTTAGGCGCCTCAAAAGCAGCCCTACGCTCCCCCCCACACCCCCCCAACACCCTCCACTAGCCACCTGTACATCTTCTCGGCGTGTGCCCGGTGCATGGCTGCCACGTGCTCTGCCATGACCCACTCGTCGCTGCACACGCGCACACTCACACGCGCAAAGTGCGTTGCTAGACGCGCAAGGGCCTGGGAGGGGATTGGGGGGAGCAGGGATTGGGGGAGCGGGGATGGGGGGAGCGGGGAGTAGGAAAAGGGGTGGGAACAAGTTTAGAGCCATGACCCACTCATCAATGCACACGTGCGCGGAGTGTGTCGCTAGAAGGGCCAGGGCTTGGGAGGGGTTGAGGGAGGGCAGGAGAAGGGAAAAGCAGGAGAAGGGGAGGAATGGGATGCGGAATGGGGGTCCTTCCCACACGCACGACCACACACAAGGAACAGCCACAGGTTTAGCCATGCCCCACTCGTCACTGCACACGGACAAGGAAAGAGTGTGTCTCTAGATGGGCAAGGGCATGAAAGGGGGTTGGGGGGGAGTCAGGGATGGGGGAGCGAGGACTGGGGGGGCGGGGAGAGGGGGCGGAAGGGGAGAGGGAACAGGCAGGGGAGAGGGAACAGGCAGGGGAGAGGGAACAGGCAGGGGAGAGTGAACAGGCAGGGGAGAGGGAACAGGCAGGGGAGAGTGAACAGGCAGGGGAGAGGGAACAGGCAGGGGAGAGTGAACAGGCAGGGGAGAGGGAACAGGCAGGGGAGAGTGACAAGAGGGAGGCTGAGACACTGAAAGAAAATATTTTCAAAATACGCCAACATGGCATCATTTAAGGCGAAAATCTCTGGTGAGATGAAGGACGGATGGTGGTGCAGATGCGAAGCTGCGAAAACAGAACGACCTTGTATTAGACACGGTGTGCGATGTACTTAAACGATGTGATGTACTTAGTCGATGCATGCATGGTGAGCATGCATGGTGAACATGCATGGTGAACATGCATGGTGAGCATGCATGGTGAACATGCATGGTGAGCATGCATGGTGAACATGCATGGTGAACATGCATGGTGAGCATGCATACCATGACCAAGGTCCGTATAAGGCACACCCACTTGGACCCATCACACGGCACATTGTACCCCCCCAACGCCCCTTGCTCCTCTCACCCATGCATACTCTCCTATCCCCCTCAACCATGCACCTCTCCCCCCTCACCCATGCACCTCTCTCTCCTCACTTGCTCCACAGGAGGCTCCCGCCACTTCTCCTTTGCTTTCTGGGCCCGCTGCTCGCTCTGCTTCAGGTACCGCCCCAGCCCACACACCAGCAGCACCACCTTGCCCTCGCTCCTCCCTTCTTTCGCCGCCTCTCCGTTTCCATTCGGACCCACGTGCTGCTGCTGGGAACGGTGGTGGTGATGGTGCTCGTGGTGTTGGTGCTGCTGGTTCTGCTGCTGCTGCTGCTGCTGCTGCTGCTGCTGCTGTTGCTCCTGCTGCTGTTGCGGCGTGGGCACGTGCTCCTGTCGCTCCAGGGCGGTGAGCAGCGGCGAGAGCACGTGCGCCTCCCACCAGGGCACGCCTCTGAGCAGCAGATCCACGAAGCACTGCGCGCCCATCGCCACCACCATGCCCGCCGCCCACTGCTGCCGAATGCACAGCTGAGCAAAGGGGGGAGACGATGGGGGAAGGAAAACAGGCAGGGGGAAAGGGAATGGGGGGGGAATGGTGAGAGCACATGGAGGGGGAACAGGCAGGAGCGCCCATCACCACCAGAGTGGGGGAGAGTGGGGCATGGCATGCGGTTTAAGTGCGCGCGCAGGGAGAGCTAGAGGGGGGGAGAACTAAAACGATGGCAATATGACGGAAGGCGAGAACTGAAGGTACGGGGCAATAGGATGCCGCCGCACGATGGAGATGAGGCAAGCTAGTGAGACAGTGTGTTCCTGAAAGTTCCCAGAACCTGCTTTAACCGAGAACAAAAGAAAGCACCTGACTGCTGACTGCCACTGACAGCAGGAATCAAGGAATTCTCCATTATACCTGAGCCCGGCCTTGCTGCCCCTGGTGTGCTTGTGTCCCTCCGTTCCCTCCCTCGTCTGCCCCTCCCTGCCTGCATGCAGCAGCAGCAGCAGCAGCAGCACCAGTAGCAGGTGCAGCAGATACTGCAGCAGCAGCAGCAGGCGCAGAAGCAGAAGCGGTGCTCCAAGGTTGCACAGCAGCAGCAGCAGCAGCAGCAGCAGCAGTGGACGCGTTGGCAGCAGCGGCAGCAGGCAGCAGGCGAGGCACCTTGAGAAGCCACAGCACGGAGGCCGCAACGGGGTTACGGGTGACGGTGAAGGGGTAACCGCGATCGGCGAGAGTCCGCTCGAGAGCCGCTGCAGAGGTGGACCAGGGGATGTAGGGGGGGAGAATTAACATGTGAAGCGGACAGAAGGGTTATTAGCGGTGGGGGGCTGCACGCACGGAGAGATTTGAAAGCGAATGAAGAATGAGAATGAAAGCGAGTGTGGAAGGGAGGGGAAAACAGGGAGAAACGGACTGAGGGGAGGGGAGCAGCTGTAGGTAGAGGAGCATGCACGAATAGGCTGGAAAGACAGCAGACAGACAAGTAGGTGGCAGCAGAAAGACAGCATGCTCTCTTACTCTTGGCGTCCGGTGGTATTCTGTGGTCATTAAGTGTCGTTGGCTTGCTCACTGCATGCATCCAGTTTCAAGGCGTCTCAAAACAGGACAGTATGCTCTCACCTGTGCTCTCACCCGTGCTCTCTCTCACCCATGCTCTCACCCATGCTCTCACCCATGCTCTCACCCATGCTCTCACCCGTGCTCCCACCCCTGCCCTTGGCGTCTGGAGGCATTCTGTCATCGATGAGCGTGGTGGCCTTGCTCACTGCATCCAATTGTGAAACGCCTAAAGATATGGTTTTTATTATTTGACAGCGTGCTCTCACCCTTGGCGGCTGGAGGCATTCTGTCGTCAATGAGCGTGGTGGCCTTGCTCACTGCATCTCTGCCCTTCTCCCACCCCTCCACCTCCCGCACTGACTCCCTCCTCTCCCCTGCCTCCCTCCGCGCTCTCTCCCTCGCCAGCCTCTCATCCTGTGGGGACGACAAGGGAGGGAGTGCCGTCACAACATTGTAGTGAGGTGACCTTTGACTCGACTTAACTGTCCCAACGTGCTCTCTCCCTCGCCAGCCTCTCATCCTGCGGGGAGGACAATGGGAGTGCCATCACGACATGCCATGCCATGCCATGCCGTAGAGTCCATTGCCGCCATGCCATTCACCCCCACATCATCCCACGCCACAATGCAGCATACCGTTCCACACCGCACCATGTGACATGCATGCAGCAGGCCAGTACCATCAGGATCAAGGCAGCGGAATCCTACAATGGTGGTGTTGGTGCACAGAGGCCCAGTTGAAATGCCTCAAGGATTGTTATTGTGCGGCGGCCCTAAACAATGCGTGCACCGGCACAATACGTGCACCGGCACAATGCGTGCCTCGGCACAATCCATGCCCTGGCACAATGTGTGCCAGAAACCAGGGGACGGGTGAGTGGACAGTGGGGAGGACCGAGAGTCTGAGGAAGAGGGAGGGAGAGGGGGGCGCGGGGGGTGCGGTGGTGGGGGAGAGAGGATGGGGGGGGGGAGAGGTGGGACCTGCTTCTTTCTCTTCCTCTCTTCTGCCTGCGCTGCCCTCTCCTGCTTCTTCTTCTCTTTCTCCAGCGCCTTCCTCTCCCTCTCCATCGCCTTCCTTCTCTGGCTTTCGCTCTCTGCTCCCTTACCCACGCCACTGCGGCTGCCACTCCTGCCACTCCTGCCACTCCTGCCACTCCTACCGCCCATATTACTGCCATTGTTTCCGGGCTCTGCATTCACTCCCACACCACCCGTCCCAATCCCCTCATCCTCCCAGCCATGCAGCCTCCTCCCACCTCCCCATCCCACAGCACCGTTCTCCATCCGCCCAATTGCCTTCCCCTCACGCCCCGTTCCTCTTTCTCCACACCTCGTCACCCCTCCCGTGAACTCCTTCCCTCCACTCCACTCCTCTCCTCCCCTCCACGCCTCCCCTCCCTTCCACGCCTCTCCTCCCCTCCACGCCTCTCCCTGCCGCCATCCCTCGTCCTCCTCACACGCCACTTCGTCTCTCCACCCGCCCACCCATCCTGGGCTCCCCAGCCATCCAGCACTCTCCCCTGCTGCTGCACACGGCTGAGAGTGCTGCAGCGTGCTTGCTTCTCCACTCCCAACGCCCCTGCTCTCAAATACCAAAGCACAGTCAGACGACTCACTGCCGCCTCTGCCGCTCTTGCTGCTTCTGCTGCTGCTGTTTGCACTGCTGGTGCTAATTGTCGTTCCTTGACTGTCACTCCAAAGCCTCTTCGCACCCTCATCCTCCAAGCCCTTCCTCCTCTCCCTCTGCTCCCTCTCCTGCCTCTCTCTCCGTTCTCTCCGCTCTCTCCTCTCTCTTCTTCCCTGGCTGCCTTGATTCTCTTGATTCTCTTGACTCTCTTGACTCTCTTGACTCTCTTGGCCGTCTTGACTACTGGCACTACTGCTGATCTCATGAACGCACGCTACACCATCCCCATCACTTCCTCCCCCTTCCGACATCACCCCTGCTGTCCCTTCCTCCCACCAGTACTCCATCCCAGCACCTCCCCCTTCGCCCCCCTCCTCCTCCTCCTCCGCCCCCTCCTCCTCCTCCTCCTCGTCCCTTCTCCCAATACCTCCCCCGGTCCCCCACCTTTCACTTGGTCCTGCTGTCCCCTGTCCTACTGTCCCCTGTCCCGGCAGTGTTTGTGGCACCTCAAGCGGCTCATTCCGAGGGTGCAAACCCGGAGAATGCCTCTGAGAATCTGGCGCATGGGTGACCAGAGACGGCTCCCCAGTCCCGCCCCACCTTCGCTCCTCCACGGATCCCCACAGGGACGACCTCCCCGCATTAGCCCCCTTAGCCGTGTCTCTCTCGCTCTCACTCCCCCCCCCACCACTACCACCCACCGTCTCAGCCTGAGGAGGAGAGACATGCCTGGTTGTAGGCTGGGAAGGATTGGTCGCAGCAGCAGCAGCAGCAGCAGCAGCAGCAGGAGCAGCAGCACCAGTAGCAGCAGTGGAGGAGGAGTGTAGTCGGCCCCATAGATCGGCCGCTAGCTCGTCGTTCTCTCTCTGTGATCGTTTGAACGGTGTTCCTACCAACCCCGCTTCCTCCTCACCCTGCCGCTGCTGCTCCTGCTGCTGCTGCTGCTGCTGCTGAGCCCTGTCGTTCCTCCCTTGGCGTAACCCGTCATGCTCCACGTCACCCGAACCATCCACGCCACCCGAACCATCCACGTCACTCAAATCATTCACTGCGTCCAGACAACCCACGCCACCGTTCGGCTGCGTAACGCCGACTCCCGTCCCACCTACCCGCCTCCGCTTCGGCCTCGCCGCCCCCACTTCCACTCCCATTCCCACTCCCATTCCCACTCCCACCATCAAGACATCATCCTCCTCCGTCAATCGCGAAACGGTCGGACGGTCACGATCGGTTCTATCAGCCCATGGATCCGAGGCGGTTGGGCGTGGCGTCGGCGGAGGAGAGCCGTCGATTTCGTCCAGATCGATTGGCTCAAGTGTCTCCGAACGAGATTTGACCACGCGCGTTCTCGCTGCCGCGAGATGAATAGTCGTTTCCGCTCCTCGGCTCCACTCGCTCTCTCCCTGCCGCCTTTCATCCTGCCCAATACCCTCTCCCTGCCTGCACACCTGCCTGCAGATCTGCCTGCGGACCTGCCTGCTACTCTCGCCCTGTCTGATCGCACATTCGTTCGTCGCGGGGTCGTCTGGACGACGGGAGGGAATCGGGAACCGGCTGCTCGCTGGCGGCCTGCTGTCGTCGTCGCTGTCGGAGTCCAGCACGATGGCGGGAAATGCGGACATGGCGGTGAATCTGCTTTTGCTAGACAACCGAGGTGAGCTCGGTTTGTGGATTTGGCTTGTACACAGCTCTAGAGAATGCCGACACTCTTGAGAAAAATCATCGTTCCCAACCAGCTCAACATGGGATCAAAAAAAAAGAAGCAAATATTGAGAATAGGCATAGTCAGAAATCTATACTGAACTACAACAATAACAAAGGGTCAACTTAAAACTAGGAAACATCCTCCAACGCTAAACAAACCCAATACCATAATTTATTTTCCAAGGACTACAGACGCCATACGCCATCTACGCACCAAGTGCACTGAAATACCCAGAAAGAAAAGCGCCAATATCTAGCATCTCCAATAGCTGGCACGCACTTGCCACTCCCTCCATAATAACTAACAGAACTCCCACTTTTTAAGTCTCCTGTCACCAGTCAACACCGCTGCAGACAGAGCAGCAGCAGCAGCAGCAGCAGTGCCTTAGTGGATGGAACCGGCCAGGGAGCCATTGAGCGAGGAGGCAGGGGAAGAGGAGCCGGCACGGTGGCGGCTGGCCCCCGGCTGCAGCACCTTGACCTTGTGGTTCAGGTCGCTCACGATCTTGGACATGCTCGGACGGAACTCCGGCTCCGGCTGGAGGTAGGGAGAGAAGGGCAGCACAAGCAGATGAAAAGGTGAGGGAAAGGTTTTTAAAGATGCAGCAACAAGTTTCAAGATGTCTAGGAACACCGCACGTACCTGGATGCAGCGCGTGATGACTTCAGCGAAGGCAGCGAGCTTGGTGGCGTCGGGCAGCGGCCCCACAATCTTGCTGTCCAGAATGGCCTCCAGCTCTGCCGCGTTGTGCAGCAGCGGCGCCGCCCACCGCACCAGAGAGGACTCGGGCTTGGGCTTGGACCTGGGGGTTTGGAGTAGGGGAGAGGAGATAGGCCAGAGTGGGAGAATCAGAGACAAGGAGCAAAGAGGGCTTTTGAGGTGCCTCAAAAGCAGTGGCGCCGCCCACTGCACCAGCAACCACTTGGGCTTCGGTTTGGACCTGGGGGTGTAGAGTGGGGGAGTAAGGCCAGAGATAAGATGGACAAGGAGCAAAGAGGGTGGGGGGCCAGAAAGGTGCCAAGACGCACAGAAACCAAGAGCCTAGGACTAGAGAGGAGGTGGGGAGGATAGGCAGAGCACATACGGGTCAACGGGCTTGCGGCCAGTGAGGAGCTCCAGGAGCACGACGCCGAAGCTGTAGACATCACTCTTGGCCGTGTAGATCCCCGACATTGCATACTCTGGCGCGTTGTAGGCAAAGCCGCCCACCAGCTGGTCCGACAGCGACTGCAACAGATGAGGTATGGGGGGGGAAGGAGGGGAGGGGAAGGGTAAGGAGGATGGCAGAGAAGGGCGGACATTGCTCTGGAGAGTCAAGGGGTCTCTCAAACGCGGTTGACTAGGGCAAGCACAGAGGCCAGAGTTGAACACAGCAGCAGCAATCAACGAGGTGCTGCTCTCACCTTGTCATCAGCGCCCACGGGGTTGAGGAAGGAGAGCCCCGCACCAGCGACACGCGCCTTGAGGCGCTTGTCGAGCAGGATGTTGCGTGAGGAGATGTTGCGGTGGATGATGGCCGGCACACACTCCTCGTGCAGGTAGCTGGGGAGGAGAGGGCGGGGGGGGGGGGGGGAAGAGATAGGGGTCAGCAGAGGAGGCGAATGGGAATGTGAGGCAGCACACACGCACGAGGATTGCTGCTGCACTCCTCGCTCCCCCCATTCCCCCCCGCTGACTCACACAAGGGCGCGCGCCGTGGCAATCGCGATATCGATCCTGGCGGCCCACGTCAGGTGCTGTGAGGGGTCCGCGGCATTGTGCACCTTCCTCCCGCCATGCAGCTGATCAAACAGCGACCCGTTGTGATAGTGCTCGAACACCAGCACGCGCTCGCCGTAGTCCACGCAGTAGCCCTGCAGCTGCACCACATTAGGGTGCTTCAACCGCGCCATATTAGACGCCACCGCCACGAAGTCGTCGTCTGACTGCCCCTCCACCACGCTCGGCTCCACGCGCTTGACGGCAATCTCCTGCCCGCTGGGGAGCGTCCCCACGAAGGTGGTTCCCAGGGGGTCCGAGTTCACGCTGCGGTCGGGGGAGAAGTTGTCCGTTGCCATCTGGAGCTCGGCTAGGGTTAGGACGACGACCCCGGGGACGCGGCGGGTTGAGCCGCCCGGCGTGCTGTTGCCCGGCGCGCCGTTGGCGGCGGATGCGGCGGCAAGGGCGGCCATAGAGGCGCCTGGCGGCGGGGGGGCGCGCGCGGCGGTGTTGGACCATGCTGCGGGGCGGAGGGGGGAAAGGGGAGCGGGGAAAGGGAGGGTGTTAAAAAAACAGGAGGGGGAATGGGGGAACGGGAAGGGGGAAGGGGGTTAGGGGGAGGCGGGTCAAGGGGATAGACTGACACAGTTAGGCGCACTCACACTGCAGGTTAACCGGCGCCTTCTTCGGCCCATGAGCCGCGCCGCCGGACGACGCGGTAACGACCGTTGTCGCCGACACGCGCTTGCTCGAGCCACCCTTCTTGCCGCCGCCCTTCTTTCCGCTGCTGGCCCGGCGCGGGCGGCAGCGCACGAGCACGACAACGAGGAAGATGAGCGCAACGACCAGCACAGCGCCCACCACGACCCCCGCGATCGCCGCCGCGGACCACCCGCCGCTGCTCTCCTCCGCAGGCGCCTCGTCGGGGTTCGACTGGTTCGGGGCTGAGGGAGGGGGGAAAGCGGGGAAGGAAGGGGGGAAGGGGAAGGGGGGAGGGCAGGAGAGAGGGGAACCGGTTGAGGGGATGAAACCTGCTGCTCCGCCCTGCTTGCCGCGGACAGGAGAGAGGGAAACCGGCGGCTCCGCCAAGGTCACCTCGACCACTGTCGAAGCCACTGAGCGTGGGCCGGTTGTTGCGCAGCAGCGCACATCCCAGCCAACCCCACGGACCCAGGCCACCTACAGGTAGGCTAACTACTCACTGGCAGGCAGAAGCAGCTCCGAGGGCGGCTCGACCAGCGTGACCTCGACGAATCCGAAGCCAGAGAGCGTGAGCTGGTTGTTGCGCAGCAACGCCAGCACGCGCTCCACCACCGCCGGCTGCAGCGTCGTCACGGGCGCCTCGGGCCCCAGAGCCATGTCCGCCACAACGCTGCCCGGCCGCGACGCGAGCAGGCGCACCTGGCCGTAGTTGACGATCAGATCGTCCGCCAGCTGCATCTCAAGATCCTGGGGGGGAGGCAGGAGGGGTGAGAGGGGAGAAGGGGCGCGAGGGGGGAGAGGAGGGAAGGGGCGCGAGGGCAAGAGAACGTAAAGGGGGGGGAGGTAAGGGGGCGAAGGCGAATGGAAGGTGGTTATGAGAAGGTGGGTATGTATGGGGAAGTGGATATAAGGTGTCAACTCACCCGCCGCTTCTTCTCGTCGAAGGCAGCGTATGCTCACGTGCAGGCGGAACCGAAGCGGGTACATGACCGCCCCTCTCTGCCTGTCTCTACTCACCCCTCCCCGCGCCTATCTCAACTTACCCGCTGCTTCTTCTCGTCGAAGGCGGCGTAGTTCATGCTCATGTGCAGGCGGAACCGCAGCGGGTACACGCACACGCACGCCGACGCGTTCGTGCTCAGCTTCGGGTTCGCGCTCGTGCTGTCGTCCGCCATGGGCCGCCACGCCACCTGATTCAGGTTACACGTGTCGCACTCGGTCGGCGGCGCTGTGGGAACCTCTGGCATGGACGGCAGCGACGGCTGCGCGAGGGGGGGAAGACTGGGGGTGACGATGGGCGGAGTCGGGACCACCACGGGGGGTTTCACCACCGGGGGCTTAATCACAGGGGGCTTAACCACGGGGGGTTTAACAACGGGGGGCTTGACCACAGGGGGCTTGACCACCGGCGGCTTGACCACGGGGGGTTTAACCACGGGCGGGCGGACGACGGGCGAGGGGAGGGACGCGGGCGCGGAAGGCTGCTCGGTGGGGTCGGGGAGCGGAGCGACTCCGCCAGGGGTCGGGCGTGGGGGCTTCACCACCGCGGGCTTGGACGCGGGCGCGGGGACTGCGGGCTCTGACGCGGGCGCGGGGACTGCGGGCTCTGACGCAGGCGCGGAAGCGGGGGCCTCAGAAGGTGGCGCAGGCTCGGAGGCAGGGGCGGGGACCGATGCGGGGGCGTCGCCCTTATTGCCATGCTTCCCTCCCTTGTGCTTTCCGCCCTTTTTCTTTCCGCCCTTGCCGCTTTTGCCGCCCACGAGTAGGGAGTTCCCCTTAGTCTTGAGTTTCTGGATGCCCTTGTAAGTCGACGGCACGTTGCCCGAGAACTCGTTTTTGCTTACGTCGACAGCTTCGATACTGGGTAGCAGGCCAATGCTCTCGGGAAGGGTGCCATTCAAATGGTTGTCCGCGACAGTCCTGTAACGGTAACAGCACCGCACATGCCATGCGAAAGCGCAAATTTAGATGTTATGGAGCAGGTGGAGCGGTGTGGCGAAATCATTCGTTACAGCAAGGTGTGCACGGGGGGGGTCTTGGGGATGCGCGGTTTGGGGATGCGCGGGCATGGGGTGGGAGCGCGGACTCACATGTGGGTGAGCGACTTGAGGCCCGAAAAGTCCAGCGGAAGGGGACCGCTCAGGGAATTGCCCGCCAGGCCGCTGTCACAGGGGAGAGGTGGGGAAGGGAAGGCGAAGGGGCGATTGGTATGGCGGAAGCTTGCGACGAGCCGCTACATGCCGAGGCGCTGGGCGTCATTGGATACAGACATGCGAGTTACCAGCAATTGGCATCAAACCAAAATGTGAACTGACAAATAACTTCCCTACTGCCAAATATACAATTATAACGCCTACATGTAGATACAATTATGAGTGTAACAACAGCTTACATGTAGATGATCTTATCATGTTTGAGCAGGGACGCGGGAAAAGGGCCCTTGAAGTCATTCTTGGAGAGTTCACTGGCGGAAGGATAGTCGGGGGAGTGAGTGGGAAGGAGGAGAGGGGGGTGGGGGGAAGGGGGGAGACGAGAGGAGGGGGGAGGAAAAGTGGGAAGTGAGAAGCCGATGCTTGCAGAAACTACGGTAATTCATCACAATGTGCTCAGTCTGGTAAAGGCTCCGAAGTGAAACACGAAAACGGCAGTCTTCATATCGTCTACAAGTCGCAAGAACCAGCGGAGGAAAATGGCAGATGAAAAGCACTTACACGTATTGCATGTTGGTGCAAGCCGTGAAGTCGGGGATTGGTCCGGTGAACTGATTCAGACGCACGTCACTGGGAGCAAGAGATGAGGAGGACAAGGAAAATGAACGGAAAGCGGAAGATATACGGCATGACGAAGCAGGGAGCGCTAGCTAGCAAGGCTAACCGCACGCGCAAAGCACAGCGGCGCAAAAACACGAGGCGGAAATCACCGGCCCAAAGAGCAAGGCACGGGGCGTGTCGGACAGCTGGAGAAGCAGCTGATCTCCTTAGGGGCGTGAGGGGGCTCACATGTGCTCGAGGAACTTGAGCGTGCTGATCTCCTTAGGCAGCTCGCCCGTGAACTCGTTACCCTGCAGATTGCTGCGCGCGAGGGAGAGAGAGAGGAGAGTGCGCAAGGACCAGGGGAAGGGGAGAGGGAGCAAGGAGCAGGGAACAGGGAGCAGGGAGCAAGGAGCAGGGAGCAGGGATCGGGGAGCGAGGAGCGAGGAGCGGGGCAGAGAGCAGAAGGGAAAGGCGGAGGGAGGAAGTGACCATTATAGCGTGTGGAGGAAGAGAAGAATGGAAGGAATAACGCGGGTGACGGATAAAGCAAGACGGGTGGAGAGAAGGAGAGTACGACGGCGCAGAAGGACAGGTTAGGATACAAGTGGTGGAAACTGCTTACACGTGGGTGACAATCAAGTCATGGGACGTACAGGATCGTGAGGAAGGGCAGCCATGCGATGTGCTTGGACAGCATGCCCTTGACCGACAGCGACTGCAGGTTGCTGTTCGCACACATAAGAACGCGTGAAGGAGGGAGGGAGAGAAGGTGAGAGAGAGCGAGAGAGTGAGCGAGGGAGGGAGGGGAAACGGGGGTGAGGAAAGGGTGGAAGACTATATTTATAGAACACGCACGCCACGCCCTCATGCCCTGCCAACATGCACACGCATACCACAGGGCACTGACATTCCGCCGCCATGCCATTGTGCACACCCGTGCCGCATCACGCTCACATGCCGCCATGTATCCAAGCACTCGGATGCCACGTCACACTCACATCCCGACGACGTGCTGCGGCTTGGTAGTGGAACAGATTATTCCGAGCCACGCGTCGTCGCAGGGGTCACCCTTCCAGCTCGCGAACAGCGTCGCCGGACTCATGAACGCCTTCATGCCCAATAGCGCCGCGCCTGGAGGCACAGTGGGGGAGGTGAGAGCGAGGTTGGGAAGCAGGGGGGAAAGGGAAGGGGGAGAAAAAGAGGGGGAGGAAAATGAAACAGTAGAGGCGGGCAGAAAACCAAAGGCCTTCCATCTAGCGAGAAGCGTCGCTAGACTCATGAGCGACTTCGTGCCCAATAACATCGCGGAGCCACCACGGGAAGGAGCATCGAGGTTTGGAAACGAGAGGGCAGAGGGTGGGATAGGTAGAGGACGGAAGCGGAATCGGGTATGAGACGACAGACTGGTTGGGAGGTAGAAATGCGGCGGGGAGACGAAGATCGGGAGCTTGGCGATCTCTTTCGATAAGACGACGATGAGCAGCTGCTGGTAACTCAGTAACATCTGGTGTACCACTGCCGAGCCGACATTTCCGTGCTAAGGCACGAATGGACTCGCGCAGGTGGTGCAAATAGACCCGGCGCGTTAGCGTGCGTCGGAGGATCCCCACATTGCCGATTGCAGGTGTATTGACACATTTCAATCCGTCTGGCGGTTTTAACAATGTGCGACGAGCTCGCGGTATGGCAGTTATGAGTCGCGGGATGCGCGGCGGCTCTTGCGGTCATCTAGTCGCGGGATGCGCGGCGGCCCTTGCGGCTATCGAGTCGCGGGATGCGCGGGGCCTTCTCACGTACGGTATGCCGAGAGAACTTACTCTCTGTTGGTGTGGTAGCGGCGTCTGTCCATACGACGTCATTGCTGAGGTACAGCGCAACGAGTAAGACGACGACGCTGCGCATCGATGCGCGCAGCAGTGCCATGGCCGTATCGCCGGAACCGCGCAGAACCCCCGGGTTTCTTGACTCTCGACCTCGCATGAAATTATTAGTCTCAAGGTGAGGCTCAAGGAACGGGTTAGCTTACGGACGCAGACTTGATGGACTACACTATAATAAGTGATTGAGAGTTAACCCTAACTGCTCGCTAGGTTAGGGTACTGATCAGCTGGATGTGACATGAAGGCTCCAAGCCGAGGCGGAGTGGTTATGGTGGATGATAGTGCCACGCCGTGAGACTAATGCGGCGAGAGTGAATGGGTTTGTTGACGCGGAAAAGGTACACCGTCAAGGAATGGCACAAGCGCACCTCGCCGTGCGGGAAGCACGCCGCGGAAGGGAGGGAGGCTGACGTGTGGTGGAGAGCTAGACGCACAAACGAAGGGTAACGCGAGAGTCGGGCCTAGGAACACGAAGAACGAACAGGCACGGGCGGTGAAGGGTATGCCGTGGGACAATTCGAATGCGCTGTAATCACGATGCGAGAAAATGCTTCGCCGCTCAATAAGGTGGAATTGGGCAACGTGCAAAACCTGGCGGGAACGTGTTCGAATCGCGGATTTAGGAGGTTCGTGTGGGTGAAATTGCGGCGCGGACGCAAGGGCCAAATGCTCCGAACATCCGCCGCGGTGCCGAACCAAAAGGAAGGTGGGAGGTTTGGCGCTCATCGCTGCTTGACCAGCGTAACGTGCCTCCGTTGTCTTCGCTTTCGGCGTGCAAGTGATGGAGCACCAAAGCAGCTTTGGTTTGGAAAACAACCGAACGGCTAGCTCAGGTGCGGATCTGGTCAAACGTCTCGCCACAAGTCTCGTCGGAGGCTCGGCTCGGATTCGAGTGCACGAAGCTGAACGTTCGCCCCAAAAAGTGCGGAGAGACCACAGCCTTTTAGCGAATTGATATTGATGAGGGTTAGTAACATACGCGATGCAAACTTACAGAGCTAACATAAAACAGGGGCTCGGAACGTCTTAAGCATATTCAGCAAACGTTGGCGTTAACATCAGATATTCAGGAAAATAACTTCATACTTATCAAATGAATCAGTCTTCCACATAATCTAAAAAAAAAATAACTTCCTTCCTGCCTAGACAATGAATCCCCTTGCCCAACATTCACCCCTCCCCCTCCCCCATTCCCAAACTTCTTCTAGCCACTTGTCAAGCAGACATCCATAACACAACACAAGCCCTGTCTCATAAAAGCAGCACTGCAGCCTGTGCATTGGCTATCCATCGGAAGACGAGAATCTGTGGCTGCTACTACAGATGCAGTTGTAGGAGCAACACTGAGAGGAGCACCCACGCCACAGCATTAGAATTCGGTGTTATAATCCTTGGACGAAAACGGCAGGCCCAGGCGCGTGAGCCACTTCTTATACGCCCCTGACAAGGAAAACCACGTCCCTTCCTCCTCGTCCTCCTCCCCCACTCCCCCACACTCCTTGCAACGCCTTCCCTCCCACAAGCCACCATCTCCCCCGCCCAACCCTGCAAAACCGGCACCACTCCCCCCTCCTCCGGAGCCGCCTTTCAAACGCCCATATATCCCCCCACCTGCTGCTGCTGCTCCTCTTCCTCCTCCTCCCCCTCTACCCACTCCTCTTCCTCCCCCTCCCCCTCCCCCACCCCCACCCCCACCCCCTCCCGAGCCTGCCCCATGCATGCGGCTCCACATACCATACAGCTGCTGCTGCTCAGCCGCGGGCATGGTGAGCACGAGCTCGTTGAATCCAAAGAGGATGATGGCGCGCTCCTCCGAGTCGATCTCCACACCGCACATGCGGAACCCCGGATCTGCCGTTGGGAACGAGCCGGGGGTCGCGGCGGCAGAAGGGGACGGCGCGAGGAGCGACGGGGACGCGTGAAGAGCCACTGCTGCTGCTCCTGCAGGGGCCGCCGCTGCTGCTGCTCCTGCAGGGGCCGCCGCTGCTGCTGCTGCTGCCCCTGATGCGAGTTCAATGCCTGCTCCTGCCGTGGAAGGGGTGGAGGGTGGTGCTGCAGGTTGAGCGGAAGGCGAGCGCAGCGAGGCTGCAGCAGCAGCTCTTGCCACGGCAACAGAAGCAGGCGACGAAGAGATGTCCAAAAGAGGCATCGGAAGAACACCCTCCCCCACTGCTGCTGCTTCCCCTAGTGCAGATCCTGCAGACACAGAGGCAAGAGCAGGAGAGGAAGCCATGCCGCCGCTGCCAGAGCGAGTGATGGCAGCCGCGGTCGCCGTGACAGAGAGGGAGTTCCAGTCACTGAGAGAGTTGAGGGGGGAAGCAGACGCGGATGCAGCGGCGGAGGCAGAGAGAGCGACGGACATGTGGGCGGCAGAAGAGGCTGTGGCAGACAGAGGAGGGGGGAGCTGCGCAAAGGAGCCGGAATTAGTGTGGGCGGGGGAAGCGAAAGAAGAGGAGGAAGAGGAGAAGGACGCCGCGCACCAAGGGGCGTGCGGGTTTCGCGGGGGTTTCACGGCGTTAGGGTTGGGCACGGTGTGGCAGGCCACAGCCATGACACGTAGCCAGAGGCGCGCAAAGGAGGCGCGCAGATCAGGGTTCACCACCAGGCGCTTGGCCACGAGCGCGCCCATCGTGCCCAGCACCGCCACCTGCACTATGTGCAGCTCTGCATCTGCTGGCCCGGGCTTTCCCGCTAGCTCCGAACGAGACTCTGAGTTCGGCTTCGTCTGTGAGCTTGACCCTGACTTGCTCTGCTGCTGCTGGCGCCTCCGCCCCTGATGCTGCTGCTGCTCCTCCTCCTGCCCCTCACGCTTTTTGCCATCTGAACCAATCGCACCAAGTTTGTTTCCAATGGTATTTCCCGCTCCCCCAACCTTACCCTCCATCCCATCATCCCTGCTTTCTGCAAAACCAACCCCACCTCTCCCTCCCTTCTTCTCCTCCCGCATCTTCGCCCTTTCCATCTCCTCTTTCTCCTTCTCCCTATTCCTCTTCGCCTCAAGCCGCCGCACCACTCGCCGAGCCTCGGCCCGAACCTCCCTCCACTGCTGCTGCTGCCGGCACCACTGCAGCACCTCACCCACAAACTCATGATCAGTAGCCAACCACTTAAACACCTCGTCCGCCATACCATGCTCTAGCATCAGCCCCACTAGCCACGTCAGCGAGCCATCTTTGCCATATACCGAATCAGGCAATGCGGGGGACGAAGGCGGAGAGGGAACAAGCATGCTGAGCCAATCTTTCTCGTCTATAGTACTCTCCTCACCATCCAAATTCTGCTTCCCCGCCTTCCCTCCGGCAACACTCCCCTTCTCTTCCCCCCTTCCCTCTTCTCCCGCTCCTACCTTCCTCCCTCGCCCTCCTCCTCCCCCACTTACTCCTCCTCCCTCACTACCCTTCCCTCTCCCCCTGCTCCCCGCACCCTCTTCCCCCCCCCTCCTCCTCCTCCCCCTCCCCCTGTTCCTGATCCGCCTGCTGCTCCCCCAAAGTTGGAGTGGGAGCGGGGGGGGAAGAGGGACCGCGTGCGTGTTAAGCCACGGCGCGGGGGAGTCGCACCAGCCGCATCAGCTGCCCGCTCCCTCCCTCTCCCCTCGCTCCCCCTTCTCTCGTCCTCTCCTCCTCTCGCTCTTCCACTCCTCCCTGCCACGTCACCACCCCTGCTGCTGCTGCTGAGAAGGTCAGAATGGAGGGAGATAGCAGTGGGAAAATCACGGTTCCTTGACTCTGTTGACTTGGTGTGCGCAGACTCGGGATTGAGAGACCTGGTTCTTCTTAGCGGGGCGGCAGCGCGGCGGGCAGCCTTTTTCGCCTGCTGCTGCGACCACACCGCCTGTAGAAGGTCCACAAACGCCTGCTTAAGCAACGCCCTCTTGCCGCGCCTGCTCAGCATCGGCGCGCTGCCGTTTCGCAGTAACGCGGTTACTGCATCCCTGCACTCGCGCTTGCCGCCCCCTGGGCAGATGCTGGGGACAGATGGGGCTTGGGCGGAGGAGGAAGAGGAGGAGGGAAAGGGGGAATGGGAGGAGTGGGAGGAGAGGGAGGGGGGGTGAGATGCAGCAGTGGGCGGAAAGCCTCGGGGATTTGGGAGGGGAGGAGAGAAGGAAAAGCCACTGGCACCACCACCACCACCAGCCGCAGCAGCAGCAGAAGCAGCAGTGGCTGCTGCTAGAGTGGTGGATGGGAGATGGTGGGCCATGGAGAGTGGTGAGACAGGAGGCACGTCGTAGTTGAAACCGTGGGACAGGCCAGAGGAGAGGGAGCGAGGGGAGGAGCACGAGACGGCAAGAGCAGCAGCAGCCTCTGCTGCGGCCGCCGCTGCCGCAGCAGCATCCTCAGCATTAGCCGCTTCGTTAGAAGACAAGCCCCGCTGCAGAAGCACACGGACAGCCGCAGTGACCGATTCCTCATCGAGGATATTTTTCACGGGCAGCCGGTCCAGAACCGGGCGGGCGTCGGGCAGCTGAAGGACCGACAGCAGCCGCACAACCCCGAGCTGCTCCTCATCGCTCCACGGGACCGACTCCAGAAAATCCACGCATGCTGACGTGGCGGCGTGGAATTGGAGATCTGCGGCGGCGACGAGCATGTCGAGCACGCGCCAGACCGATCCAAGGGCCACGATTTCATCTGAGATGGTGGGCTCGTGGTAGAAGAGGCGGAGGGCGAAGACGTAGGCCTCTGGGTGGGAGACTAGGTCGCTTACTCGCACGGATACGCGGCCGAGATGGGAGGGAGGGGTGAGGTGAGCGCGGGGGGTGGTAGAGGTGGTTGAGGAGGAGGACGGCGAGGAGGAGGAGGAGGAGGGGGGGGACGTGAGAGGGTAGTTCTGGAAGGAGGCGCGCAGTTGGTGTTGTGGCAGATGCTGCTGCTGCTGCTGCAACTGATGCTGCTGCTGCTGGTAGTTGTGAGCGAAGCTGTCACGGAACCTTCCTTCTCCCCCTCCTCCTTCTCCTCCCGCTGCTCCTCCTACTCCGCCCATGGCTCTACCGCCTATGGTGGCCCCCCTGCCCCCCACACCCCCCCCAAGGCCATCCTGCTCCCAAGGGGGTCTGAGAGAGAGAGACGGGGACGGGGGGAGAGGAGAATGACCAGCACTCCCTGCTCCTCCTCCCAACCCCGCCGCCGCCGCTGCTGCTGCTGCTGCTGCTGCTGCTGCTGCTGCATTTTTATGAGTGCTGCCAGAAGCAGCAGCAGCAGCGGCGGCGGCGGCAGCAGCAGCGGCAGCGGTGGTTGTGGATGGGCGTCTAGGGAGTGCCGAGAAGAAGAAGTCGGATTGTTCCCGAAGGACCTGGGAGTGCATGGCCACGGACGCGTGCAGCGCCCCGTCACGCGCAAACACGTCCACGCGGATGTCTGACGTGGCAGCGTCGTCAAACACCAGCGCATCCGACGGCGGCTGACGTGGCAGCACCACCACCGTATCGCCCTCGTTCCCTAGATACCACTCGGGCGACACTTGGCTACGCCCTACATGCCTCGTATCGCCACCAAGGTTGCCAGTACTGTTGGGCTTCCCTCCTAGTGCCGCTGCTGCCGCTGCCCCCCCCGCCCCCCCTGCCCCCCCTGTTGCTGCTACTCCGCTTCCTGGCCTTCCCCCCAGGTGCGCCAGAGGTCCCGCCTGACCTGCGAGCCCTGCTCCTCCCCCTCCCCCCGCGGGCGGCTTCCCCCCAGCCCCCACGCGCAGGCCCCCGCGGACTCCCCCGAAGATCCCCCCGCTACCCTCTCCACCTGCGGCGGGGGAGTTCCCCCAGTTGTTCCCCCCCCCCCTCCTCCCCTAAGGGTGCTTCCCCCGGCACCCGCGCGCCCTAGGCTGGGGACCATGCTCATGCTTCTCCCCCATGGCTTCTCCCCCGCGTGGCCCCCCGCGTCTGCTCCCCCCTCCGCGCCATCCCCCCCGAAACCCAGCCCCCGCATCCGGCCCAGGTCCAGCGAAGCCGTGTGGCGCCCCCCGCGCGCGCCTGCTCCCCCCGCCGCTCCTGCGGAATGCGCGGAAGGCGGAAACGGGTTGCGCGCTGACGGCATAAGGTCTAGTCTAATGCGCTCGTAGGATGAACCGCCGGGAGGCGCAGCAGGAGGGTTGGCAGAAAACATAGAGGGCTGGCCGGAGGGGGGGGTGAAGGAGGACGGGGAAGAGGAGGCGGAGGACGAGGCGGAAGCGGAGGAAGAGGGGCGCGAGGAGCGCGCGTCGTGCGCGGACGCTGGCGGAGCTCCCGCGGAAGGCGCGCGGAAATCCATGAGAATCGCCGCAGTTCCGCCAGCCCCAACGCCGGCCCCGCCGCCGGGGGAAACCCCCCCGGGGTTGTCGCGGGCCGCTGCCGCGGCTTCACCAGCATTAGCGGGTTTCCCGCCGGAAGAGCCGCTGTTGAGGATCCTCGACATGGCATACATGGCGCCTTGTGATTGGTCCGGACGCGTCGGCCGGCTTACAGGAGAACATAAATACGAGAGTTAGGGGGACTTTTGAGGCGCCCCAGAAATAGGGGCTGGGCGACTAGCGCTAACGGAGCCCCCTGCTCGAACAAGGGCAACGACCGACCGCAATTAACGCATCAGGGTTACTACCTGCTATCGGGCCAGCGGCGCGGATACTTTAGAAACGATTCAAAAGCTTAGTCGCAACGACTAACCGCGTTCAACGCATTAGGGTTACTACCTGCTATCGGGCAGTGGCGCTGATCATCTGGCGGAGCCGCATGCACCGCAGCTTAGCAGCAGCAGCAGCAGCAGCAGCAGCAGCAGCAGCAGCAGCAATAGCAGCAGCAGCGACACGGCGGGAAACGCGGAAATGGCGGGCCGGGCGGAGGGACAGAAAAGAGTCGCCCTCTGAGCGGCGCTGCGCTGCGCTATGTCTCGTGAGTCGACTCAAAAGTCACCTCGTTACAATGGCGGGCCGAGGGGACGGACAGACGAGAGTCGCCCTCGCGGCTGCGCGGGGCACTATTCTGGTGGAGGTGGCCAGCAGCGCCAGCTTTTTTGGATGCCTCGAAAGTCGGGTCAGCGGCGCCAGAGGAGTAAGCAGCATCAGCGGCACCAGCGGCACCAGCGGCGCCAGCAGCGTCAGCGAAAATAGATCAGAAATGCGTGGTAAATAAGAGACAGACCCAGGAGACTCGCCCGCGCCGACTGATCGGATGGAGGCCGGCGGGCACAGCAGAGACTGGGGGGAAACCTTCTGGTGTGGCAGGGAACTCTCCACCTGCGGCGCGCCTGGAGAAAACTAGGCGAGGGGGAAAAGCGCGGGGCGAATTAGGTACAGGTAAGTGGGGTGAGCGGTGGCGGTAAGGAAATGCAGGAGACTGGGAAAGGGCAGGCATCGGCGGAGGGGAGGGAGGTGGGGGGAAGGGTGATGGATGGCATGTGGGAATCGGAACCAGCCAGACCAGGTCCGCGAGGCAACGCGCATACTCGCTTTAGAGCTGTCGTGAGGGGAACAAGAAGAACAGGTGCAGCTCGAGTATTTGGTATAAAATGTGGGGAGGAAAATCACTTCGTCCAAACCAATGCCACCTAGCCCATGCATACCACTGTTTGCCTCACTGTTTACCACTGTTTCGTCCCCTCTCGCACATCACATGGGGGAAAGGGCAGCATCGGTTGCAGGAAGTGCCCTGCTCGTATTTTGTGATTCAATTCGGGCCGTGACGCACAACTAAACAAAGACACTAAGTCAAACAAATCAACCATGGCAGATAATACCCGCACGCCGCTACGAAGGAACATACGTACACGCACTATGGAGCTCCCATTTTCCAGGGAGATCCATTTATTCACAACGGTGGTATGAGAGCCACCAGTGAGGTGAGGGGTCTATTCCAGAGGAGCGGGTGAGAGCAAAACGTTGGCTGGATAAACAGGTGACGACGAGGTGGTCCCTGTTGCTGATCTTTGAGTCAACTCAAAAGTCAGTTGCAGTCTGCAGAGGAATGGATGAGAGCAAGGAGCTGGCTGGAGAGAGCGGCGACGAGGTGGTCCCTGTTGCTTCGAGACACGTGCACTATGGAGACGTCTGGACGGGCGCGGATGGCAGCCACTGCAAGGTGAAGCAGGGGAGTAGGAACACGCAGTCATGGGTGGGCGGGAGGGTGGGAGGGTGGAGGGTGAAATGGTGGGGAGGTGGGTAGATGTTCTTCGTTGCTGCGATATGCATCTAATATTAAAGACGAATAAGCGGGGGTTTGGATGGGCACGGATGGCAGCTTCCGGGGCAAGTTGCATTCATTTGAGCGCAGGGTAATGGGGAGCGGGGAGGGGACGAATGGAAGCGAGGAGGGGCAGGGGGGGCATCATCCACGGGACTTGTGAGCCGATTCAACGTTTCCTCGGTTAAATGTCACTCGAGTGTACCTTGGGGCACGTCTCTCCCGTGCATGGCAACGGGAATGGATGCGAGGAGAGGCAGGGGGGCATCCACGAGACATTTCGAGTCCGCCTCAAACATCACCTTGGTTCAAAGGCACTCGAGCATACCTTGGGGCAGGTCTCTCCCGTGCATGGCGACGGGGATGGAAGCGAGGAGGGGCAGGGGGGCATCCAGGAGCGCAGTGATGGCTGCAGCGAAGCGGGCGGACAGAAGCTCCATCTTGCCGATCTCATCCACCACCCACAACGTGCCACGTGGACTGCTGCTGCTGCTGAAAGTGGCAGGTGATGGTGCTACTGGTGCTGCTGCTGCTGCTGCTGACGCTGGTGGCGATGGTGACAGTGATGGCGAGAGCGTTGGTTGGGATACGTGTAGGGGTGGTGGCGGGGTGGCGAGGGAGAGTATTGGCAACACGTGCTGGTCAACTGCAGCAATATCCACACTGTACTTGCCAACGCGCCCCCACCTCTCACTATTCCTGCTGTATTCACTTCTCACGCTGCTTCTGCTGCTGCTTCTGCCGCCGCCGCCGCTGCTGCTGCTGCTGCTGGTGCTGGTGCTGGTGCTAGCACTGGTGCCGCTGCTGCCACACGGATTGGCAGGAGAAGAGAAGTCCGAGTGGGAGAGGCGGGCAAGGGCCACGCGGGTGCCATCCAGTGTGACTATGTCGAAGCCGATGCGCTCGCCTGCTCTCCGGACCTCCTCTGAGAAGCACCAGGGGCAGCAGCAAGGAGGGATGCCAAGAAAGCCAGTGCGGCATGGCGGGGGAGAGGCGGTATCACGTGTACTAATCAGTGTTTCTCACGTGACCGCACATTTGAGAGGCTTCAAGTGCTTTTGAGTCGACTCAAAAGCGGTATCACGTGTACCAATCAGTGTCACGTGACCGCACATTTGAGGCGCTTCAAGTGGGATCTTGTGTCAGTGTGCACTCAGTGTGGACTCGGTGTGCACTCAGTGTGAACTTAGTGTGCACTCAGTGTGCACTTAGTGTGCACTCAGTGTGCACTCAGTGTGCACTTAGTGTGCACTCAGTGTGCACTCAGTGTGCTACCACAGTGCAATCAGGGTACCATGGCTGCGGCGTGAAGGAAGTGTGAAGTGTGCTTCAGGTCTCACCATCACATCACCTGTCGTGAAACCTCGGAGGGTGACCGCAGGAAGCGCGTCTTTAACTCTCTCGATAACGCGTGTGATCAGCGTTGTCTTTCCCACGCCCTGCAGTGCGCACCAGATTCACCCGAGTTAAGAGATGCCTACGTCATGCCCCACCCATGCCCCACCCATGCCCCACCCATGCCCCACCCATGCCCCACCCATGCCCCACCCGTGCCTCCATCCACGCCCCATCCAGAAAACGACAAGCTCCATGCCATGCCATGCCTTTCCATGTCATGGAGGAGGCGAGTGCTACTCACGGGTGGGCCTGTAACGAGGACATTCATCCCAGCGAGCAGGAGGGGATTAAACGGGAGGAGGATTCGAAGCAAAACCGCAAAGCGGCAAAAGCGCAAAGCGGCAAAGGCGAAGAAGCGACGAGGAGCAACGTGATCGCGCGTTGCAACGTGACCGGGGAAGGAGCTACTCAGGAGGGGAATATTCGGGAGCGGAATCCACTCGAGGTGATAATATTCGGGTCGGTCGGGAGAGGAATGCTCCGAAAAATCGCGCCTATCTGGGAAGGGAAATGCTCTAACGCGGACTGAGCATATGGGAGCATTAGCAGTGGCCGAAATGCAGGCTGAATTCCGAGGAGATTCGAGGCAGCGTCAAATTCGGAAGTAGGCGACTTTTGCGAAAATGTTACCGATGGGAGGAAACACTAAAAAACCCTTTTAGAATACGGTCAGGTTCAAACGGGGGAACATGTGTTAGCAAATGTGCATATTGGATAATCCTACAGCAAACGACGAATAAACCGACCCAAACTGTTCACTTGGTTGGATAATCCTATGGTAAAACAACCTATTCATTAGTTACATACACTTTCCTTCCGAGCAACAGCACTGCAGATAATTAGGGAGCCATCAGTCCTTCCTAAGCCAAAGGCTCAACGGAGCCATGGCTGTCGTCGTACACATCGTCGGCACCATCAAAACCACCATTGCTACCATCATCACCAGAACCAGAACCAGAACCAGAACCAGAAGCAGCAGCACCAGACGCACTGAGACTGGCATCAGCATGAGAAGGCGGTTCCCCTCCATAAGCACTTGCAGGAATGGCAGTGCCAGCACCAGAGGTAGCAGAGGTAGCAGAGGCAGCGCCAGCGCCAGCAGTTGAGACAGAAGTGGGACCAGCAGCAGGCGCGGCAGGTGGGGTGGCGTGTGGGGCGTGGTTTGTTGGGGAGGAGGACGACTCGGACTTCGCAGAGAAGCCGGGAGGGCAGTAGATCTTGAGCGGGTGCTCTGGGAAGAACAGCGTGTCTGTGGATGGGCGGGGAGGGGGGAGGGGGGGAGTGGGGGGGTGGGGAACAGGGAGGATGGGGGACAGGAGGTTCGATGAGGGGCTCTGAGACGCCTCAGAATAAGCCGGGATGGCAGTAGATCTTGAGCGGGTGTCCTGGGAAGAAAATCATGTCTGTGGATGAGCGGGGGGGGGAGGAGGGAGGATGGGGGAGAGGGGGGATGGGGGAGAGGGAGGATGGGGGAGAGGGAGGATGGGGGAGAGGGAGGATGGGGGAGAGGGAGGATGGGGGAGAGGGAGGATGGGGGGCAGGAGGTTAGACGATGGCTCTGAGACGCCTCAGAACAAGCCAGGAGGGCGGCAGATCGTGAACGAGTTCTCTGGGAAGTAACACTGGTCTGTGGATGGGCGGTGGAAGGGGGAACAGGGAGGATGAGGACAGGGAGGGTGGGGGACAGGGAGGATGGAACACAGGGAGCTAGAGGGGCGGGGGGAAAAGGGAGGGCGTGATGTGTGTGCAGGAGAAGGCTGGACGGATAACAGGGGAGAACGGGGACACAGCATGTAGAGCTGGGGAAGGAGGAACGAGGTGGAAGGCACATTGCAGAACAGGCTGAGGCGTTGTTGGTAGCTGCGACCATGGGGGGAGGAGGGTGGGGAAGGCTAAGGGGTGGAGAGGGGCTGGAGAGTGGCAGTGAGGCGTGCAGTACCTCGGCGCTTGGTGGTGATGTGCAACGTGTCGAGGTTGATGAGCCCGTCCACCAGCGGCACCAGCTCACATCGCACCTCCGACGTGCCCAGCGCCGGCACCTTGCTGGTGGGCGCAGGAGGGGAGAGAGGGAAGGGAAGGGGAGGGGAGGGAAGCAAGCGCGCAGCAAGAGAGGATGACTTTGAGTCGACTCAAACACCAGCTCCACCGCCGCACCTCCGACGTGCCCAGCGCCGGCACCTTGCTGGTAGGCGCAGGGGGGGAGAGGGCGAAAACAGCAACGGGAGGGGTTCGAAGGGAGAGGTTGGGCGCAAGCGGGCAGAGCAAGAGGAAAAACAGGGAATCCCGGCAGAGAAGGGGCGGGGTGGTGGGGGAGAGGGGAGCAAGGTGCGTCTGGAGGGGAGGGTGGAAGGAGGGGGAGAGACGGGGTGAGGGAATTGGAGGAAAGGAGGGGGAAGATGAAGGGATGAGGCTGACCCCATGGGGACGACGGATTGCAGCCAGAGGTGCGGCCTGTGCGGCACATGCATGGCCACCAGCTTTGAGGCGCCTCAATACTAGGCACCTGAATATTAAATTTCTCTCACAGGGAGGACGGTGGGGGGACGAGAGGGAGGGGAATAGACGGAGGTGGGTGACTGACTGACCCCATGGGAACGACAGATTGCAGCCACAGGTGCGTCCTGTGCGGCACATGCATGGCCACAAGCTCTGCTGCAGACACACTCCTCTCCCTCCCATCCCCTGCTCCTCCTGCTCCTCCTGCTCCTCCTCCCCCCGAGCCTGAAGCAGAAACAGGTAGGTTCTGGGACCCACCCTCTCCCATACCCCCCTCCCGGCCGCCGCCGCTGCTGCTGCTGCTGATGCCCAGTGGTTTGCCGGCAGCGGGTTCCGAGGAGAGCGAAGGGGGTGGCTTGGGGTGGAGGGAGCGGTTGCGGAGGAAGTCAGGGAGAACGAGAGACCTGGAGCCGTCAGGGGGGTCCTGAAGAGAGGGAAAGGGCGGAATAAAAGAGGGAATGGTAGAGTCTTGAGGACCTCAGAACAGAAAGTGCGGGGACATACATGGGGGCTTGGGGTGCAGAGCAGCGAGCGGTTGCGGAGGAAGTCAGGGAGAACGAGAGACCTGGAGCCGTCAGGGGGGTCCTGGGGCGAGAGGGGAAGGGGGGAGTAGGGGAGTGGGAAAGGGAGAGGTTTGGGTCCTGGGAAGAGGGAATGAGGGATGAGGGAGGGTTGGGGGAATTGGGGTGCAGGGAGTGGTTGCGGAGGAACTCGTGGAGAACGAGGGGCCAATCCTAGACTACCCCTAGACTCACCAAAGAAGCAGCAAGAGTAGATGACTTGAACACCCGGAGAGGCGACATAGCAGGGGACAACCCCTCCTCGTCCTCGCTTCCATCCTCCTCCCCCTGGCCCTGCCCCTGCCCCTGCTGCTGCTCCAGAAGCAGCGGGTCGGCGCTTGAGTCCCCAGCGAGGAGATTGGAGGAGTGGCGCGGGGAGGTGGGGAAGCAGACGCGCGAGAGGGAGGTGGCGGCGAGAGTGGTGGGCGCTAGGAGAGTGAGGTTGAGGTCTGACGCTGTGAGGTTGGTCACTCGCACTCGCACGGTCTGGAAGGGGGAAGGGGTGGGGGTGGGGAGAGGGTTGGGGGAGGGGAATAGGATGGGGGGGGAAGAGGGTGGGGAAGCAGAAGTGATAGAGAGTGGTGGTGGGCGCGAGGAGAGTGACGTTGAGGTCTGGCGCTGTGAGGAGAGTGGGTTGGTCACTCACGCACGGTCTGTGGGGGGGAAGGGGTGGGGGGGAGGGGGAGGCAGAGGATGGGAAGGGAAGGGGGGAAAGAGGGTGGGGAAGCAGACGCGAGAGAGGGTGGTGGTGGGCGAGAGGAGAGTGAGGTTGAGGTCTGATGCCGTGAGGTTGATCCCTTGCACACGCCACGGCCTGGAAGGGGGAAGAGGTGTGGGGGGGGAGACAGGATGACAGGTAGAGAAGATAGAAGGGGCGCAAGGCTGAGAGGAAATCCAGGATGAACGTCAGGATGACATGGATGAAATACAGAATGAAACACAGGATGAAAGTTGAAACACAGAGTGAAACAGAGGGGGGGAAGAGGTTGGGGGGGGGAAGAGGATGGCAGGGGGAAGAGGTTGGGAAAGCAGACGCGAGAGAGGGTGGTGGTGGGCGGGAGGAGAGTGAGGTTGAGGTCTGATGCCTTGAGGTTGGTCCCTTGCACCCGCCACAGCCTGGAAGGGGGAAGAGGTGTGGGGGGGGAGTCAGGATGACAGGTAGAGAATATAGAAGGGGCGCAAGGCTGAGAGGAAATGCAGGATGAAACAGCGTGAAACACAGGATGAAACGCAGGAAGAGACACGGGATGTGACATGGGGTGCATGGCGAGTAAAACAGGAGAGGAGTGGGAGGGAGGGAGGGAGTGACTGACTGACCAGCGGCCTGGAGTACTGGCCAGAGGAGGGCGAAGCAGCAACGAGAGTGCCATCAGGGAGGGTGAGGATGTGAGACGAGGAGGCAGAAGTCGAGGCAGAGGCATCAGTGCCAGTGGGGAGGGAGGAGGAGGAGGCGGAGGAGGAAGAGGAAGAGGGAGGGGAGGCGGAGGAGATGTTATCTGGCGAGATGGAGAGCAACAGGTCGCGAGGGGGGCGCGGCCGCCATGCGAGAGGGTGGCGATAGCGCAGCTGGGCAGCTGGGGTGAGGGGTGGGGCGGGGTGGGGTGAGGTGGAGTGAACGGCGGGGTGGGGTTGGAATGGGTGGGATAAAATGGAAGGGTTGAGTCAGGAGGTGATTTTGGGAGTCAAAACAGGCAAGGAGGGAGGTAAGAGCAGCGGCAACAGCAACAGTCGTAGTGGGTGGAGGAGAGAGATGGGACAGTGGCAAATGCTTGCTTGCTTTGAATTGGCGGATCAGAATACAAAGGCGAGAGATCCCAAAACAAAACAGAACAAAAAAAAAAAAACAAAAAAAAACACAAGCAACTAGGTCGGACGAAAGAAAACAGTGGCAGCGGCGCCAGCAGGCACAGCAACCCCACCTGTGTGCGAGCAGCTGCAGCTGATAATAAGCGAGTACTCCGGAGACGAATCCACCGGCATATCCTCCCCCTCCGACTCCTCCTCCAAAGCCAGGGTCTTCTCCGCCATTCGGGTGAACGAAAACGCGGCTGCAAGGGAATTGCTCGACCCCTCGTTCCCTCCCAGCGCCCCCCCGCCCCTCGCACTCCCTCCTCCTCCTCCGCCCCCTCCTCCCCCTCCGGCTAGTCGTCTGCCCCGGCCCCCTCCCCCGTCCTTGTTCGCCCCGGAGGGTGCCTTTACGATCTGGGCGTTGCCGGAGCACTGGGGCGTGATGATGAACGAGTGCTGCTCGCCCGGCCTGGTGGGGGGAATGGAGGGGTGAGAAACAGAGAGAGGGGAGACGGATGGGCGAGAGGATGGGCGAGAGGGATGGGAGAGAGGGATGGGAGAGAGGGATGGGCGAGAGGATGGGCGAGAGGGATGCGCGAGAGGGATGCGCGAGAGAGAGAGGGTAAGGAAGGAATACACAAGTGAGAGTAGAGAGACGTGGTCTAAAGATGTGAAACATGGTCACAGCAGGCCATGGCTCCTCGAGTCCCTAGAAACCCACCCACTCCCCCACCCTCCCGCCCTCTCCCCATCCCCCACCCCCCACCCCCCACTGAAAACAAAGAAATCAAGGCCCCACCGTACCTGAGCGGGAGGCCCGGGAGCGCCTCCTTGCTGGAGCCGCTCTCGAGGCGGGCGACGTGCACGGGCAGGGACTGCTGCAAGGACATGGACACGGAGGACCGCGCCTCCAGGCTGATGCTGTCCACATACAGAATCACGCCTGCTGTGGCGCCCTCGCGGGGAAGAATGTTCTGAGAGGGGGTGCGGGTGGGGGGGGGGAGAGGGGAGTTGGGTGGGGGGAAGGGAGAAGTGAGGGAGGGTGTCTCGTGCACGGGCCTCCAGGCTGATGCTGTCCATGTAAAGAATCACGGCTGCTGTTGTGCCCTTGCGGGGGAGAATGCTCTGACACAGAGGAATGGGTCAGAGAGTGTTGCCCTGGGCAGAGAAGGAGAAAGAGGTTTCATTGCATTGCATTGCACGCTCACCTCGACCATCACACAGATCACATCCTCGTGCCCACACTCCGCAGTGTAGCTCTCCACACACAGCGGCTGCAGCACACGCACGCCACGCACCCACTTCCTCCCTGGCACAAACGGCCCCAGCCGCCCGCAGTTCCCACTGAACCGCTGAGGCTCCAAAGGAACCCCTCGGAATGACAGCAGCCCCTCCCACCCCACCGCCCCTGTCTCATGCGTTCCCCACGCCAACCCGCCCAGAACCGTCCCCCCTCCGCCGCCGCCTCCCCCTCCCCCCGCGTCGTCTCTAAACCCCGAAGAGTGGCGTTTTCTGGGGGAGTTGGATGGGGAGCTTCCCCCCGTGGTGGCAAGAGTGCTGGTTGCTGCTAGGGTGGATGCCGAAGGCGTGGAAACGCGGGGGAGGGAGAGGGAGAACCCAACGGGGGTGCTCGGTGCGACGGAGGGGGTCGGGGGAGCGGCAGCAGTGAAGTTAAAGGCGGAGGGGGTGCCCCACCCAGATGTGGCGACGGCAGGGAGAGGGATGGCTGGCCGGGCAGCTGCAGCAGGGGTAGCGGTGGAGAGAGGAGGGAGGCGCTCCAAGGGGAAGAGCCAGAACAGCAGATCTTGAGATTCTTCCAGGGCCCCTGCTGCTGCTGCTGCTTCTGCTTTTCCAGTAGTGCCAAGAGCAGGGGGGGGAAGAGATTTGCCACGGCTGTCGGACGCCTGCGGAGTGGCACCATCAGCAGAAGAAGAAGCAGCAGCAGCGGCGGCGGCATCAGTGTCAGCACCACCACCTTCATCATCAGCAGCAGCAGTAGGGACAGCGGGAGGAGGAGTGGCGGCAGAGGGGGGCCCGAAGGGCATGGGAAAGCGCTCAAACTGGCGGATCTCGAGAGTGGCGTCCGGGATGAGCGCGGTGGTTGACACTGCCACTTCCAGCAAAACCTGTGGTGGACAAACGAGGGAGAGGAGGGAGAGGAGGGAGACGGGGGAGAGGGGGGAGTGGGGGGAGAGGGGGGATAGGGGGGAGAGGAGGGAGAGGAGGGAGAGGGGGGAGAGGAGGGAGAGAAGCATGGATTCGTTGACATGAGAAGGGAGAGGGAGGAGGGAGGGTTCTGGTTGACAATGCCACTGCCAGCAGAGCCAGCACTGATGAAAAGGAGGAGTGCGGGCGGGTGATGAAAGAGGAGAGGTCGAGAGAGGCGGGGAGAGAGGGGAGGGAGAGTGGGGAGATGAGGGCTGCAGCGGTGTACATGTAAGAATGGCATGAGGAGAGAAGACAGAAGGAGAAGACAGAGGGAGAAGACAGAGAGAGACGAGGGAGGGAGAAGCAGGAGGCAAAGGGCAGAGCGAGGCACGGACCACAACGTCTCCATTGGGCAGAGAGCACGTGGAGACAACACGTCTGCCTAGCCCTGCTGCCGTGGCCGGGTCGTATCCTGCTATGTCGGCCGGCACTGGCATCACTCCAAACGCGCTTGGCGTCTGCACCGCCTCCCTCCCTGCCTGCTGCTGCTGCTGCTGCTGCTGGTTTTGAACCCTGAGAGCAAGGGAATGGTTAAATGGGAATGGAAAAGGGGGGGCCGGGGGGGGGGGGGGGGGGGGGGTTTGGGGGGGAGAGAGCAAGGCCGAATGGGGAGGGGGCGAATGGAGCGGGCTGGCTTTTCACACAAGCCAGAAGGGGAAGGGGCAGAGAGCGCAATGGGGGTAAGAGAGAAGAGTGGAGAGGGGGCAGAGTGGTAGGTCGAGAGAGGCAGCGTACCGTGCGGCAGACTGCATGGGTTCGATCAAGAGCACGCCGTACAGCGACCGCTGCGTCATCTCCAGCAAAGTGTCTTTCCAGTCGACTCTCACAAGTCACATCCTTACCGTGAGGCAGACTCCATGGGTTCACTCAAGTGCACGTCGTACAGCGACCGCTGCGCTATCTCCAGCAGCTCCCTCGTCCTCTGCTGCCGCACCTCCCCATCCTCCCTCCCCCCCACACTCACTCCACCACTCAACGGCCCCACCGCACTCAACCCATCTGCTGCTACCACAGCCGACTCCCCACCTTCCCCTCCCCCCCCACCTTGCTCCATACCATGATCTGACTCAAGCCCCACCCCCCCCTTGGCTGGACTCCCAGCCTCTCCCCCTAAACCCGACCGCCCCAGCCGTCCCTTCCCCACCCTCATCCCCCCGGCTCGTCTCACATCCTCTCCCCACGTCCCCCCACCGCCGCCGCTCACGCCTATAGCCGCCCCTGAATCCCCGGACAAAACCGGCTGGTGGTACGGATGCTGCCCGCTGCTGTCCCGGGCCTCGCCGGGAGGCTCGGCGAGCGGAGGTTCGGGGAAGGAGGGGTGCGAGAGGAGGGGGTCGATGGGCGTCCTGTGGACGACGACTTGCAGCAGCTCGCCGGGGAAGATGAAGTCGCGCGTGTAGGGCAGCAGAGCTGACGCGGCCGTTAACGAGGAGAGGTCCGTGTTGAGGGATCCTGAATCAGCGGTGTGAGGGAGAATGCCAGAAAGATAGTTACGGGAACGGGTTGGGGGACAAAAGGGAGGGAAGAGCTTTCAAGAGGTCTCAAGGCCCGTCCTGTGGACGACGGCTTGCAGCAGCCCGCTGGGGAAGGTGAAGTCGCGCGTGTAGGGCAGCAGAGCTGACGCGGCCGTTAGTGAGGAGAGGTCCGTGCTGTTGAGGGATCCAGGGGGTTGGTCGTTTGAGGAGGGGGGGAGAGAAGGTTACCGAGGGGCGAAACTGGTTCGATACAGAGTCTTCGTATGTATGTGTGAGAGAGGTAGAGGGAGAGGGGGTGGGAGGGGAGTCGAAACAGGTTGCAGGGTCAGACACGTCTGTAGGTGACATAGAATGGCAGGAGCCACGCAGCTGACATGCAACACGTGAGTACTACATCTTGTACGCAGGCCACGTGGCACGTTCTCTTTACTTGACTTGTCGTCGCCTTACTTACCTCCTTTGCCCAGACGGACTAGTCGTCCCTGAGTAAGCCAACCAAACGAACCCCCCTGATGTGCCATGCCACGAAACGAACTGCGACGCAATCGGGACAGCCGAAAGAGATGATAATCACCAATAGCCATTGAAATAGCCGCCCCCTTACCGCGCAGAATAGCCACTCCCCCCTCCGAAGGCGCCACCGGCGCATGGTTCTCCAGCGGCATGCGCGTGCGCACGCGCCGAGCCTCCCCACCCATGCCCCCCGCGCCTAGCCCGGACATTATCCCCGCTCCGCCCGTTCCCCCGAAGCTGCTCGCGCGCCCGGTGTGCCCCCCGCCTCCGCCGCTGTGCTCGATGTCGGGCTCGCTGGAGACGGTAAGGAGCGGGGAGCTGGGGCGGCGGGAGTTGAGTCCTCCGGCTGCGGAATCAGCGGCGGAATCGGCGGGGGAGGAGAGGAGGGAGGAGGCATCGGTGAAGGAGAGATGGCGCGAGCCAAACATGGCTCAGCCTGGGGTGATGGGGACGAGCAGGAGCGGGGTGGGGGAGGGAAGAGGAGGCAAGTTGGGGGGGGAAGGCGGAGGGGGGAGGAGAGGGGGAAGGGGAGGAGCGAGGAAGGGGAGAACGGACGGTAACGAGACGGGGAATGAGATGGGGGGTGTGTCACCGAACGGTCGTGGATGGAGGAGGATAAAACGGAGGGCTGAGAGACGAAGCCAAAAGAGTGCTAGCAAATCGTGCTGAAGCGGGATATGGAGACCAACCATAGGGCAATGTCGAAACATTTCGGAACGCATGGGAGATACAGGATGTGTTGCGAGCAATGCCGACAATATGGTAAGGAACGACGCTACGCTTTAACATCAATGCTCCGATAACGAGGAGCATTTACGGGGGAGCGCTAGGAGACATTAGAAAGACAATATTACGCACTGGAAATATGTGCAGCAATGGACACACCAACGGACCCTCACGCCAGCGATTTCCTGTAGAACTCGTGAGCGAGGACCGGGCAGATCGGGAAACAGTCGAACGCGAGCGCAACAAGCGGATGGGGAGTGCGCGGATCGCCGTGAAACGCGGAGATTGCGTCACAGAAGGAACTGCCTGGTTGACACTTTTCTCACGTCTCAAGATCAGGCAGGCTGGAGGAAAGACAGGAGCTGCTGTTGATTCAACAAGGTGGTGAGCTGATCCACCAGAAGGATGCACAGAGGGAGGCCAGCGATTCAATAACGGTGCTGCAATCGCAACATGCTTCAAGCGGGGATAACATGTTCGAATGTGACCTAACCTAATGTCCAAATTCCAGATAGTGCTTGATTCTTCTAGTTGAAGTGAGAGGAGACAACAATGATATGGTACTTACTGCATCTACCACAAGCTATCATAGCTTAATTACAGCAAATTTGAGAGCGATTACTATATCAACATCCATAAAGCAATGAAAGTACGGTATATATCCATCTCTTTAGATAGCTTGCCATCCACGCGAGCGGAACACTGCCAGCCAAAAAAAAAGGCAACAGAACAGGTGAGACGTGTTCAAGTTTCCTACTATCTTGTGAGAAACTAGAATACCCCAGTGTATGGCACTTACGTTTTGGAGTCTTGAAGAGGAATGATGAGATGTTGGAGATTTCTCGGGTGACATTCAATCCTGCTATCTTGACACGCCTCACTGCAAGGAAGGTGAACCGTGTCAGTCTCAGCCACGTTCTGCTGAAATGCAAAGAAATAAAAGAGGCGAAATGCACATGTTCAACCACGCCAGTAGAACTTACAGGCTCGGTGGAAGGGGTTAAACGAGGATTTGGGACGAGAAATAAGTTGCTTAGACGCAGTACCCTGAAGCTTTTGGTACCTGCGGTGCCTCTGAAAACAAACGATGGTGCTCGTGTTAGTCACAACACAACCGAGCCACAATTAGCAGGGATAGTGAGGAATAAAGAAAACTGATCGTACCTCTCTTGCCAGTGAGTCAAAATGCTCGTCATGAACACCATTCAGCTTGAAAGGATCCTGGTCAGCGTTGGTGGGAATGTCTTCCCACTCTACTTCACGTAGCTGCTGCTGCAGCCTGGACGGTGAGCGGATCTTTGGCGACAACTCACATGAGATGGACCCACTAGTGGTCTGAACGTCACAGTTCCACTGCTTGATTGAATCAACTTGATTCCCAGGACTCTTGCTGGTGAAGCTCTCTTTCTTCACATCCCGTGACAGCCAGTCCGAGAAAGAAGTGGATCGGCAAGCCTTGTTCAGAGTTTTGACTGAAAGCTTGCTCGGAGAAAGAGCCCAGTCTGTAGGTGACCGTCGTGGGCTCATGTTCAGCCCTTGATACCGTGTCTTGAGAGCAGAGGAGGGTGCTCGAATCTCTGAAAACTTGTCCTCGTCAGCATCACCACGCCAGTTTTCCTTATCAGAATCGAAGGCATCTCGGTTTGGTGAGCTTGGCGGTAGCTGTCTCCTGGTAAACCCGTCAGGCCTCCGCTGGGGTGCCCTGTTTCCTCGCTTGAACCGCGGAGACTGCATCGTCCTTCGCGTCCTCGAACTCGCTGGACGGCGAGAGAGCTTCTGAGAGATTACGCTGTCAGCTTCCCCAGGGATCAACTGGACGTTGTCGTGATTGCAGCCTTCCTCTTCTGAGAATACGACCGAAGCTTTCCTCTCAAGAGAGCGAACCGAGACCGAGCATTTTGGCGAAGCAGTAGGTTTGACGTTGATGTCCCCATCGTATCCTGGGTCCACGTCCGGAACTTCAGAGCGAGCGTCTTTGTCGTTGGTCCCAGATTCCAGAATGCTCAGATTCATGGAGAAGTTCTCGAATTCCGACAGGGAAGAAGGTGACTTCTCGGCTGGAACCCGTGGGAAAGCCTCGTAACCCGTCACGCTTAACGCCGCCTTGAGATCCCAGCCACCGCCAGTCATACCAACACAGTCCTCGAGGAAACGCTTCATCTGCTCACGCTTCCCTTCCTGGGGGAAGTCAGCTAAAGGTGAAGCCATGGCGACAGAGGGATTCCAACACCACACGAGGGATGCTTCTGTGTCTATGGAAGGTTAGCCTGTGCAGTCATTGCTTACACTGGCAACTGCCTTAGCCTGAACCGAAATTCTCTCTGTCAGCCTCGGTAGGCCATTCCATATCATCAGGAGCGACCCAGCAGGCTCCATCCCGTCAAGCCAGGCGGCGGGATTCCCGCGTCTCGGGTCGTGTCAAGCTTGTGGTTGATGTATAGCCGTGTCGCTGGAGAGGTTCCCTTTGTCCCTCGAGATTTGCGGGTGAAGCCTTCGAACGAGGATGAAGATTCGATAAGCTATGTTCTATGTAAACGACATTATTGTACATTAATCTCAAAATTGCGTTCAACTTTGCCATATCTAGTTTGTTCACCTGTCCCAAAGATGATTAAAATAGGGTTTGGAACAGAAATTTGTTGCCATTAATTTTGAAACTGCATGTACTACAGGCTTCACAATTTTCTACAAAGTTGAGATATCGATTATGTAATTATTCGTTTTAATTACAAAAGACGGGATTATAACTTTAGATAACAATATTTCATACTGTTTTACCTCTATTCAATTTTCTCTACCAATCTAGTACGATGCAATTATAAACATGCGGATATAGAGATAACGAACAGGGCCTCAGATTGGTTTTGAGGTACCCTGATTGCTCAGGGTCCCCTCCCATGTTTACCCTGATTTTTCAGAGCTCAAAAAAAATAATCCGCTGAGTAATCAGGGTTTCTTCAAAATTTTACGCTGATTTGACGAAATTGGGAGATGGGCGGAACGACGTTCGGGGAGGGCACAGACGGGACGGAATGGGGGGTGGGGAAGGAGGGAGGGAGGATTCCCGTGGGAATCATGATGATGCTGAGCCCATCAAATTTTGCGGTTACACTTTCAGGAAGCCTCAGCCAATCATATTTTGCCGAACGACCCAATCGGATAGCTGAGCAAAATTGCAGGGGCGGGAGGAAATCTCGCCCTCACAAAGCCGCAAGGCACACATTGGGCCCTGAATGTGGCGAAGGGTAAAAAAATCCCCTCACAAATCCCCCAGCACACGCTAGCCCTAAAATTGGCTAAGGGCCAAGTGCCCTCACACAACCCCCCCGCACACATGGAGCAGGGGAAACATGCGGTCATTATGGCCGGGCCCCAAATCACGCTGTTATAGGATTCGGGGTAGCTGCCCGTTAGGCAGATGATACAGGGACCTCTACAATAGCAACGCTGTACAAACAGAGTTCACTAAAAAAAAAGCCCTGAAATTTCAGGGTTGTGTCTAAAAAAAATCCTAGTGCATCAGGGTTGGTACCAAGAAAACCTCTGAAAAAACCCTGAATCAGGGAAATTTGCCTGAAATCTGAGGCCCTGATAACGAATCATACATTTGAGTATGTAGTCGTCTGTAATGTATATGCTGCCATAATTCATCCCCTCGGTGTTTGCCCAGGGGTTCTGTGATCCAGTGCACACACTTAGCCAATGGCGGGCAAGAGCCCTTCCACTTGGTGACTCCTGATTGGTGAACCATGTGCACCTCCACAGTTCTTGCTTCCCAGCGGACTCTAGCAGTGCGCAAGACGAACTGCGGCGGAGGGGCTTCAGGCAGCGGAACAAATCCTTCCCCCTCTTCCCCCGAATCCCCCCCCTTCCCTCCCCCCACTTTCCCACTGTTCTGTCGACGATATCCACGCCAAACCTCGGGATTTGGCGCGGGTGGATGCATGCCCCTGGCCTCTTGCCTTCCACCCATACAAGTGCTTGCTGCTACTTCTCGTCAGACGGGGAATGCCAGTTTATCAGGTGCTTGATCAACTGGCAAATGCATTGTTTCGAAGGTCCTATGCGCTCCGCCGTTGTTTCAGCCACGCCCTTCGGTCCGTCGAACCCATCAGGCGTCTCTCTCCCCTAAGAACCGCGTAATGCTCCGACAGCCAGGCTATGTAACAAGGTAACTTAACCCTGCGCGTGGCTCGCTGCCTGTACAGTCGCGTTCGTCACACGAACCCGATCCCCACTCGAAGTTCCTCCGTGACTCCAGCACCATGATCTCGGTATCACCGCTGCAGACAGCTGGCCGTACGCCAGCCTTCAATATAGCAGCATCAGCGCATCACCCAATCAACTCTAGCGCTGCTAGCAGTAAGCCATTTCTCGCATCATTCCCCCAGCGGCACCGCCGTGAGCACCTTCCTTTCTCCCTCGCTACCCGGCCCAGCAGCTTCGCCGTCAAGTTCCCGCTTCGAACGCGGACGCCGTCTTTAACTCACTTCTTCTCCGCTCCCGACGCTCGCGCGGCGTCTAGTCGCCGCGGGGAGCAGTTCCGGGTGAGCGTGCGTGCGGCGAGCGGGGATGGCGCTGACAGCAGCAGACTCGTTGAAGGCGGGGGGGAGGGAGGGATAACGTCGGATGCACCAAGGGAAGATGAGCCGGAAGAGAACTCAAGGAAAGAGACCGGCGCGCCTGGTGCTAGTGTTGAGGAGAATCCTTCAACGAGTAATGATTCCGGAAGTGTCGTGAGCCAGGGAGGGAGAGCCCTTGGGAGCCAGGAAGGGTCGAGGCAGAGTTACCGAGACGCGTGGAGGGGTACAGAAAGGGAGGGAGACGCCGCAGGGCGTGTACGGGAGAGGAGTGAGAGCAGGGATAGAAGGCCTAGGTACGTGAGGAACAGCGGCCGCTGGGAATGGATCCCGGCTGGAAGCGAGCGACGCGCCAGCGTGCACGTCAACGTGCCCGTCGCTAACAGCAGCGGCAGGAGCAGCAGCAGCAGAAGCAGGAGCGATAGCAGTGGCAGCAGCGGCAGCAGCGGCAGCAGTGGTTACCGCAACGGCGGGCGTCGAAGAAGTGTCAGAGACGGCGGAATTTCCGGAAGTTCCAGCTCGGAAAGCGAGGGGGAAGAGGACGGGGGGAATGCGCAGGGCGGGCGCGGGACTTGGGAAAGGGAGGATGGCGCGGGGGGCAAATCGAGGGGGAAGGGGCGCGGGCTGGCCCTTGCGCGGTCTGTAGTGATCGACCTGTTGGCGCGGAGCAAGGAGAGCGTGGAGGAGGTGATTGCTCCGGTGCTGTCGCGATTGTCCGTCGCAACGCTGTGGGATCATGTGAGTGCGGGAATCGCTAGGGTTCGCTGTGCGGTTTACGTCGATCGTGTGCGATCGTGTGCGATCGTTTGCGATCGCGTGCGATCTTGTGATGGCGGGGCACAGGTCTCACTACAACCATCTCCTTCAGCATTATTGCCTTCTTCCTACTCCCACACCCCCACACGTGCCCCGTTTCAATCGCCGCCTCAGAGCCTCTGTCATCTCAACCAACCGTTTCCATTCACGCCTGCCATTCTGCCGCCTGTCCATCCATTCCCCCCTCCCCCTCCCGCCCCTAGATCCTACGGGACCTAGAGCACAGGGGAAACAAGAGGCGCGCGTACGAGGTATTCGAGTTCTTGCTTCTGGGTAAGGAGCACCACGGGGTGACCCTCTCCCCTCAGCTCTTCTCCACCGTAATCACCATGCTGGGCCGAGACGGCAAGCTGGCACACGCGCGCGCGGCGTTCGACGCGATGCCGGCGCACGGGGTGACACGTGGCGTGCACGAGTTCACGTCGCTGCTGAGCGGGTACGCGCGGCATGGGCTGATCCGCGAGGCGGTGGACGTGCTGGCGCTGATGAAGGAGGATGGGTGCGAGCCGAACGTGGTGACGTACAACGCGCTCATCCACGCGCACGCCAAGCAGGGCTCCCGCGTTGATAAGGTGCGCGCTGGGCGGTGCGGGTGGGTGGTCGGCGGGGGAAAGGGTAGGAGAGCGGGGAAGGGGAAGGGACGTGTGGTGAGGGAGTGATGGGTGGGGTTGTTGGGAGGGGAATGTGGGACTGAGGAGGCAGTGTGAATTGGGGGGGGGGGTGTCAGTGGGAAGGGAAGTGGTGGGAAAAGAATGTGGGGGGAGGTAGAAAGAGGGAGAGCGCGAGGAGGGGGTTTTGAGGATGGGCTTGGGGGAAGGGGACGCCAGGATTGGTGGTGGTTGAACGAGAACAAAGCCAAGAGCAATCAAATTAATCACAAGCAACCCCTCTCGATGACGTACCACACACTCATCAACGTGGCGGCCTTGCACCTGGGACCCTTCAATTCTTTTGCACGCATCCTCTCCCGTCCCCGCGTTCCTCATTCTTACACTCCCCCCACCCTGGCTCCCTCCCCTGCCATTTCGACCCTCGCTTTCCCCCATCCGCTCTCCCCCGTCCCCTCTCCCATCGGGTGATGGCGCTGTTTGGCGAGATGGCGCTGGGCGTGGAGCCAGACGCCATCACGATGCGTGGGTCTTCTCTCACAGCACACCCGCCCCCTCACTCAACCTCTCCCCTCTCTGCAGGTGCTGGCGCTGTTTGAGGAGATGACGGCGCTGGGCGTGGAGCCGGACGCCATCACGTACAACACGCTGATCAACGTGTGCGTGCGCTGCCGCGACGTGCAGCGCGCCCTCGCCGTCTTCCACACCATGCGCCACGCCGGCTTCTCCCCCAACGTCATCACGTACACCAGCCTCGTGGACGGGCTCGGCAAGGCGGGAAGGGTCAAAGAGGCTGCTGAGTTATTCGAGGTGAGGGACACATGGGCGTTCTCAAAGGTGGGGAGGGAGGAGGGCGCGGGGATGAAGTTGACCCTGGAGTCCCCCAACGTCATCACGCACACCAGCCTCGTGGATGGGCTCGGCAATGCGGGAAGGGTCAAAGAAGCTGCGGAGGTGAGTGAGTGGCACGTGGGCGCTTTGGGGATTTGGGAGGGGGGGAATGGGGGGGGGACGGAGGTGTGGGAAGAGTTGGCCGTGAAGTCCCCCAACTTCATCACGTACACGGTACACCAGCCTCGTGGACGGGCTTGGCAAGGCCGGCCCGGTCAAAGAGGCTGTGGAGTTATTCGAGATCAAGGGGGGGGTCATGGGGGGATGGGTGAGTGCGCTCACTAATATTGGCCTGTGTGTTGCGTCCGTGATCTCCCTTGGATTGCGTTGGCCTTATCATCACCTCGGCTTATAGTTATTGCATACAATTTTTTTGCTTTCAGCTCACCTCTCCTCATCTCTCGTCTCGTCCCGATGCCCATCCTTATCCCCATCCCCATCCCCATCCCTCCCCATGCCCATCCCCATGCCCATCCCCATGCCCATCCCCATGCCCATCCCCATGCCCATCCCCATGCCCATCCCCATGCCCATCCCCATGCCCATCCCCATCCCTCCCCATGCCCATCCCCATCCCCATCCCCATCCCCATTCCCATGCCCATCCCCATCCCCATCCCCATCCCCAGGAGATGAAGCACTGCGGGCAGGACCCCAACAGCCGCACGTACAACTCGCTCATCCGCGCATATGGCGAGGCGGGCCTCTATGACGAGGCCACCAGCCTGTTCCAGGAGATGGAGCGCGCAGGTGAGGTGGGGCGAGCAGGTGGGTTTGGGCGAGTATGTGGGGTGGGGCGAGCAGGTGGGCGGTGCATAAACCACGTGCAACACGATGATCAACGTCTACGGCAGGGATGGGCCGTCCCTTTGATGGCTGCCCTTCCCCTTGAGATGCCTCAATCACCCTTACTCTCCCCTCACTCTTGCCTGCTGCGTGTGTGCATGAGGCAGGGTGCATGCCCGACGCGTTCACGTACAACACGATGATCAACTTCTATGGCAGGGACGGGCAGGTGGATGCAGCAGAGGGGGTGCTAGAGCAGATGCGCACGCAGGGGTGCATCCCAGACAGGGTGAGTGTGTGTGTGCATGTATCAGTGAGTGTGTCAGTGTGTATCAGTGTGTACCAGTGTGTACTAGTGTGTATCAGTGTGTGTGTGTGTGTGTGTGTGTGTGTGTGTGTAGAGTGTGTGTGTGATGCCCCCCCTCCTCCCTCCCTCCAATTCGCCTCCTTCAACCCAGGTCACGTGAAACACACTGAGGGATGCGTATTCCCCCTCCTCCCATTCTTTCCCCCTCTCTTTCCTCTTCTCCTTCTCCCTAAACCCCATTTCTCCCCCACTCTCCCCCCTCTTCCCCTCCCTCCTCTCTCTCCCCCCCTCAGGTACCCTACAACACGCTCATAGAGGCATATGCCAAGGCAGGCCCACCGGACAAGGCTCATTCTAAATGCATTCATGGTGACCTTCAAGTTTCCTTGAACATTCCACTCTCTCGTTCCCCCACCTCCCCCTTCCCCCCTCCCTTCCCTTCCCCTCTCCCACCCCAGGTGACCCACAACACGCTCATGGACTCATACGGCAAGGCAGGCTCACCCGGACAAGGCCCATTCGAAATGCATTCACAGTGACCTTCACCTTAGCAATCCACTCTCTCTTCCCCCCCAACCCCCCAGGTGACCTACAACACGCTCATGGACGCATACGCCAAGGCAGGCCACCCGGAGAAGGCGCAGCGCGTGCTGGCGGTGATGCGCAGTGCGGGCGTGGCGCCGGACCTCTACACCTTCAACATCCTGCTCGAGGCCGCCTCTAAGACCCGCACCATCGAGGACGCTGATAGAATCTATGAGGTCAGCCTTTTGGTGGGGGGTGTGGGGAGGGGTGGAGTGGGGTGGTGCAGTGGGGTGGGTGGGGGGAAGAAGGTTTGGGGAGTGGTGGGAGGAAGAGGCAGGTGGAAGATTTCGCGTCTCTTTTGTCGGCCTGGAACCGACTTTCCAGGCGAGTCTCAAGCAACCTTGGGGTCGGCCCAGTGATGCTTTAAGGTGCGCCGGACCTCTACACCTTCAACATCCTGCTCGAGGCTGCCTCCAAGACCCGCACCATCGAGGACGCGGCAGGATCTACGAGGTCAGCTGACTTGGACGGGTGGAGGTGAGAGGGGAGGGGGGCCAGGGGGAGTAGGGAGGAGGGAGGAAAGAAGAGTGGAAGGAGGAAGAGGGGGGTGGGGTGCAGTGGCCTCCGTCCCAACCTGGTGACCTTCACGTGGCGATGATCAATGCGTACGGGCGTATGGGCTGCCACGAGGAGGTGCCAAGAACCAAGTGCCATCAAATCAACACGCGTCCACTCATCCACTCCTCCACAATCCTCATTACCGTCCCAACCACCCCCCTTCATTCAAACATAACCTTTCCATTCAAACACACCCCATCCCCACTCTCCTTTCTGTCCCTCGGCCCCAACCCAACACACCCCCTCTTGCTTTTCTCCAATCCCTGTTTCCTCTACGCAGGAGATCAGCCGCAGTGGCCTGCGGCCCAACCTGGTGACGTTCACAGCCATGATCAATGCGTACGGGCGCATGGGCCGCCACGAGGAGGCGCAGGAGGTGTGGCGGGAGATGCGCGCTGCAGGTTGCGTGCCCGGGGGGCAGGCGTACACTGGGCTGATCAATGCATACGCGCGCCATGGGATGTATGAGGTGAGAGGACCATAGTGATGCGCCTCAGCAACCAATAGAGGAGGTGTGGCGGGACATGCGCGCTGCTGGCTGTGTTGCCGGGGGACAGGCATACACTAGACGAGGTGAGAGCTGCATGGGGTGGGGTAGCGATGGCTGCTGACGGTACAGGGAGGTGGGGAGAAGGGTAGGGAGGGCAGGGGGTGGAAGTTTTTTTGGGAGTTTTTTCCCGAGGATATGTCCAGCCCAGTAGGTTCGTGGTAAGAGGTACATGGGAGATACATAGTGGGGAGAGCCCAGCTGATGCTGGCATCCATTGTGCTAGCTTTTTCTACTGATCTCAAATCGTCTGTCCCTACTCCCGTCTCTGTGCTCCCTTTCTGCCAACCATCCCCCGGCCCTCTCTTCTTTCCCTATGCTACCTCCGTCCTCCCCTGGCTCCCTTTCCCCCTCCAATCCCATCTATCTGCTCTTCCCCTCTAGCAGGAGGCTCAAAGGGTATTTGACGAGGCATGCCGTGTGGGCATGGACCTGGACGTCCGGACCTACACGCAGCTCATGGACGCGTACGGCCGCATTGGGCAGTACTGCTGCCACGCGGAGTCTAGTTTTGAGGCTCCTCAACTCATACTTTCCTCCCCATCTTTCAACTGCGAATCACCCTCCTTTCCTCCTCCCTTCTCTCTCTCTCTCTCTCTCTCTCTCTCTCTCTCTCTCTCTCTCTCTCTCTCTCTCTCTCTCTCTCTCTCTCTCTCTCTCTCTCTCTCTCTCCGTCCCTCCTCTCTCCTCACCTCCCCTCTCCGAGTCTCCGGGTATTCGACGAGGCGTGCCGTGTGGGCATCGACCCCAACTTCCGCACGGACACGCAGCTCATGGATGCGTACGGCCGTGCCGGGGAGTACCGCCACGCCCACTCTTGCTTTGAGGCGCCTCAGGGCAAATACTTGCCTCATCTTTGCTTCACCTGAGATTCACCCCCCTTTCCTCACTTATCTCTCTCCCTCTCGTCTTCCCTCCCTCCCTCCTCTGCTCCCCTCCTTTCCCCTCCCCTCCCCTCCCCCTTTCACCAGGAGGCTCAAAGGGTATTCGACGAGGCGTGTCGTGTGGGCATTGACCCGGACGTCCGGACCTACACCCAGCTCATGGACGCGTACGGCCGTGCCGGGGAGTACCGCCGCGCCGAGTCCCTCCTCGCCCAGATGCAGCGGGCGGGCTTCGTCCCCGATGCTCTTGCCTATGCTGTGCTCGTGCGCGCCTTTGCAGTGGCTGATAGGTTCGAGCTTGCGCTGGTTTACTTTGAGCACGTGTTGCGGGATGCGAGCCCCGAGAGCCCGCTGTGCCAGCAGCTTATATCGGACTTCGGGTCGCTCTATAGCGCGTACACGGGGAAGAACATCGAGGGGGTGCAAAGAAGTGGGCCCACTGGCAGCAGCAGCAGCAGCAAGAGTATCAGGAGTGATAGTGGTGGAAGCAGCGGTGATGTAAATGGGGCAGGGTTGTCTGAAGGAGTGTTAGGAGCAGCGGTTGGGAGTGTGACAAGGCCAGTGCTGCCTGAACCACAGAGAGGCGCAGGGAGAGGGAGAGGGTGAGGCGGTGGGGTTGTGGAGGGCCCCACAGCCCACAGGAGGCAAGCAAGTGCGAGCCTGTCTGGATTCTGGAGGGTTGAAACGGGTGTGGTGCAATGCTGGCCGAGTGAGCAAGCAGGCAGATACATACCATGAACGTTGGATTGGATTCGATTCCACTGAAGCAGTGACGCAGGCAGGCAGGCAGGCAGTGCTTGATAGGGTGATTCGTGTGCAGGTGACAGGTGCCTGCTGGCGTGATTTGATCTCAACGTTGGGTTGAGTGATGCTTGAAGTCTTAAGATTTGTTGAGCTTGTAAGGTGCTGGCTGGAGGTTTGGTAAAGCAAGCAAGCACCCTGCTCATTTGGCTACATCTGATTACTTCATCTCTCGGTTGTTGGTGGTGCACTTAATATTGTTTTTGTGGTGCTGTCTTCATCACCTGATTGCTGTACTGCAGCGGTATTGTATGGAATGTATCCTACAGTAGCAAAGCAATGGTATAAGTATACTCACAAGATCCAATACTGGAAACGTACCATGAGCTTGCTCCCTACTTCATTCCACAACTCTACACATGTAGCACTCCCCCATATACTTTATTTACATCGCCTCAGCACCCTACAGATAAAAGCCCGGAACCTTCTAACAGCATCAGGCACTGGCGGCGGTGTGGCTGGGGCCTGGGCACGTGGGGGAGGTGGGGGAGGGGGAGAGGGCGGAGGGGAGGGAGGAGGGGGCGGTGTTGGAGGAGGGTGAGGGGGAGGAGAGGGAGGAGGGGGAGGAGGGGGATCCGGGGGGGTCGGCGCAGTCAGCACACACTTACTATTCGACACCAGGTCCCAGTTAGCCTGCACGATAAACTTCGACCCGTTGACCCCTCTCATATTATACAACCCTCCGGCCGACGCCGACGCCACGTTCAGCTGAGTAGACGTCCCGAACCACGTCTGGCACTTGTCGGCATTTTCATAGAGGCCGGAGTCAAGCCACGTGCGCATGTTCCAGCTGGACGCCGTCTCGGCGATCTCGTGCGCAGCGAAGCTAATTATGGCCTCGTGCACGGGGTCGCCGTTGGGCGAGGCGAAGTAGTCGAGGAGTGGTGTGGTGAGGCCGCAGCCGGGGCACTGTGGAGAAGGGAGGGACAGGAGGGATGGGTTGGGTGGGGTTTGGGAAGGGTGTGGGATGTGATCATGTGAGGGGATGAGAAGGGAGGTGCTGGTCGCCTCGTGCATGGGGTCGCTGTTGGGAAAGGGGAGGTAGTCGAGGAGAGGCGTGGTGAGGCCGCAACCAGGGCACTGTGGAGAGGAGGGGGGGGGACGGGTGGGAGGGGAAGTGTGAGCAAGAGGGGAGGATGGTTTGAGGTTTAAGAAGGGAAGTGATGAGATGGTTGGGATGTGAAGGGGTGGGGGGGGGGGGGTGTGAAGGGGTGTGAGGGGGTGTGAGGGTATGAGAGGGGAAGCTCGTTATTGCTTGGTGGGGGATTTAATTGTTGGGGGGGGAAACGAGAGAGAACGTGAGTGTTGTGAAGGAGTGTGAAAGATTGAGTAAGAGGGTGGGATAATGTGCGGAAATGTGAGAGATGGGAAGGGCGAAAGGGAGCAAGAGGGGGTGTGCGTGGTGGAGAGAGGACGCAGCATGGCAAGAAAGACGAAGGGAGGATGCTGGACTTGGGTAATGGAAGCACCGCAAGATGCGAGCGAGGGATTCTGTAACACAAAAATGAGGAGCGAGAAGGGCACTTAGAAGAAGTAATCTTTGTCGCGACTGGAAAGTCAGTAAGGATAAGGGTAAGGGTAAGCATAAATATGGGTCGAACGAATCAGGGGGGCAAGGAGAGAAGAGACAGCACGGGAGAGGCTTAGTAAAGCACAGAGCGGCGTACCCAGATGGTGGGGTCTCCGACCCAGGCAATCTTGGCAACAATGTTGCTAGGTAGGCTGCTACCACTGCCACTGCCAGCGGCAGCAGCAGCGGCGGTGGTGTTATAGTCAAAGAACGTGTGCCAAGCACAGTAGCTGGTGCACCAGCGCGCCCCAGCGTTCTCCTTGGAACCACTCTGAACCGTGTTCTTATCCGTGAGCAGCAGGTATATGTCGTCCTCGCTTATTGGCAGCTTCCCTGCGTCCAAAACCTGCCGCACCACGTCCACTGTAGCGTCAAACGTCGTCAGGTTACCGGTGCTGGTAACAGTTGCTTCCTTGCCAAGGGTTATGTTTGCTGTGACGTTGCGTCCGTCACTGTCGTAGTACATCCGGTTGATGTTCCACCAGAGGGGCACTGGGAGGGAGGGGGGATGAGGGAGAAAAATATTTTCCTGGGGCGCCTCAAAAAGGCGATGCAGCTGTCACTGTCGTAGTACATCGGGTTGACGTTCCACCGCAGGGGCACTGGGAGGGAGGGGAGGAGGGAGGGGAGTGGGATGACGGATAGGAAAGAAGGGTAGAAAGGGGGGGAGTGGGGGTGAGGCACTAGAGAAGGAAGCAAGGAAAGAGTTAGGCAGTGGGGCCAGGGAAGAGGGGTGGGTGGAGGAAGAGAGGGGGGGGGGGCGGTGTTGTGGGGTGGGAGCGCATGGGAGAAAAGGGAGGAGGGTGGAAAGGAGGGGAAAGGGGAGGAAACAAGGGAGTCTATCAGGCAGTCGGAAACGCTCTGGCGATACTGCCGTGTGTGTGCTGCTGCTGCTGCTGTGTTCTCTGCTGCTGTACATGCTGCGACTGTGCATGCTACTGCCATGCACAGCACACTCTTCGTACTGAATGTCCCTCATATCTCATAACCTCATATACTCATACCCTCATACCCTCATACCCTCATACCTGCATACCCTCATCTCACTCACCGGTGACTGCAGGGTCAGCAGAGGGCGCGAGCGAGCTAACAAAGAGCCGGATGGCAGTCTTGAAGCGGTCAGTGAAGGCATCGCCGTACCACACCAGGTGCACGCGGATGGGCCTATACATCATGGTGCCACTTCGGTATGTCACTGGCGTCGTGTTCACCAACCGCCGCCGCTGCCGCCGCTGCCACTGCTGCTGCCACTGCTCATGGTTTTGCCCCAGCCGCCGCTGCTGCTGCTGCTGTCGTTGCGGTCGTTCCTGGTGCTTCGTTCCGTGGCGATTCTGCAGCAGCAGCAGTTGCTCCTCGTCCTCGTCTTCCTCACGACGCATGCCGCATGTGGGGAGAGCACCAGCGATGTACGGACACTGCTGCTGCTCCAGTTGCTGCTGCTGCTGCTGCTTTACCATCTCTTCTCCACTCACCCCTTCACTCATATCCCAATCTCTCCTCCCTTCATCTTGCTGCGCGACAGCATCACCATTGCTACCATGCCCCACGCTATCGTTGTCCACCGCCGGTCTTGAACCTACCAGCAGGTGTTGCTTCTTGCCGGAAAATGGCCTACCGTCCCTCTGCTCTCGCATTAGAATCCACCCTACAGGCCCATCTTCGCCGTTTTGCTGCTGATATCCCTTGGCTTGGCCTAGTGGTGGGGTTAGATCACGGGTGAGTTTCCTAGAGAGGTGTCCCCAGCTCCTGCCGCTGTGCCAGATAGGTGTCTCTGACGATGCTGCTGCTGCCGCTCCGGCGTGGGGCACTGAGACGTTGTTCCCAACCACCAGAAGCAGCAGCAGCAGCAGCGGCAGCGGCAGCGGCAGCGGCAGGATGAGTCTGAGTACGGCCACCATCGTGCCGCCTACTCGGCACAATCCGTTGCTTCACCCCAAGTTCTCTTTGGTGCTCCTACCTTACCACTCCCTCTTGCACTGGCACTGCTGACAGCAGTGCTGGTACTCCTCACGAGGCCTCTTCAGTGCTGTGATCGCCGCGCTCCAATCAGCCTAATTCTCAACGGCCTGCTTGCAAAATACCTTAGGACGACCGGCGATTTAAAACCCGAGAGAAAACTCGAGACCAAACCCGAGATGCACGGTGTGGATCGACCTGCTATGAGGAGAAGCAGCGCCTGCTAGGTACCACCCTCTCCACGCCCATGGAATGCCACTGGCCTTCCCGGTTCTGCTAGAAGGAGTAATAGGAGTACAGAGAGTACTAGCCGCAGAGGTGCTGCGAGGTACTGCTAGGTACTGCGAGGTGCGACGAGTAATGGGAATACTACTGGTACAGAGCCACTACTGTCGGCGGCAGGGTGCACAGTTGTGAGACAGAACGAGCCTCAAAATGCGGGCAAGGGCGGAGAGCCGCGCCGACATTCCTCCCGCTCTGGCAGCGGCGCAGCCACCAGTAGTGGTGGTAGTGCGGGAATTTCCCCAAGAGCTGGCGGGTGCAGCGCTGAGATTCCGTCGAGTGACTTAGAGGCACGTGTCGTCACGTCACGGGCCGTGACGACGAGCGCGGCGCTTGCAGGGCCCCCCGAGGGGAAGACGGAATCGTCGCCGCGCTATCGCGCTTACAGGCTGCCTGTCGGAAAGTACTAGAATCACGCCACTGCTATTAGAGTCGACTGGAATCCACGGCCGCAGGATCACTCCGGTTTGTCGAAGTTAGAGTCAGTAATCGTCGCTGTTGTCGCCTCGAGTGATGCCGACTGTTAGAGTCGACTGTTGAAAGCACAAGTCGATTGGGCTTCTGGCGGTAGAAAAGCAGGCTTGCAACTTGCAAGCTGCAAGCCGAACTTGGAGGTCGCTTGTAGAAGCTACTAGTAGCAGCAGTGGGAGCGGCGACAGCTGGTATACTGAAACAAGCTTTGTTCCAAGGCGGTTTTTCTTACCAGAAGGACGCTTGTTTCAGCATGCCGATGGGCTCAGGCCGAGACTCAATACATATTGAATACACTGAAATCAGACGGTTAGGTCTACCAGCTCGGTAGAATCGTACGTAACCGCGATTTTCCGCAATCCCGCCGCCAGCAGTAGTAGTGTGGGCGGAGTGTGGGAAGGGAGCGAAAATCTCTTGCACTCGTCCGACGAGCCGCCATGGCTCGCCAGGCCGAAGCAGTTAAGTGCAACAGCCTAGATTCTCTCGCGCACAAGCCGATCGGGCGAATGGCGGGGACTTGTAGTAGGGCAGGCGATTTTTGAGGCGCCTCAAAAACCAAGTCAGTTGGGCGCATGGCGGGCAGTCGTAGTAGGGCAGGCGCGTGAGTGATTCGTACAGTGTCGCAGCCGACCAAATTACCGGTCTACCATCTAGCAGGAACTAAAGGACTCGAAGGATTCGAATCGCCGGTACCGTCTAACCGCTGGTTAGCGTGCGCGAGTCAAGCCAGCGGGTAGCCCTAACCAACCGCTGTTCCAGCAGCTCGAGTGATAGTTTCTCGGGTCGAGTGGGGAATGCCAACCGCCGCCGCTTCGGACGGAATCAGGCACTGTTTCAAGCAGAGTTCGTCCCGCGACCTTGGCGAAAAGAAGCGAGCCATGTCGCAGAAGCTGCGCGAAAATCTCGCGATTTCGCTACGAGGTCGAATGGCGGGCGAAACTGAAATCGAGCAGAGCAGTTCTGGTTCGGACGCTACAACTGGGTTACCAAAGTGAGGGGTGCAACAACAAAACTAGCGCACAGATGCGTGGAGTTGACAGCAGACGGGGAGCAGAGGGCAGAAAAAGGAAGTGAGGGGGAAGACGAGAGCAGGAGCAGAGGGGGGGAGGGAGGCAGGGAAGAGGAAGATGGGGAAGACGAGACGACACGACGCTTGCAATCCCAATTTCCAGTTCCCTCCCAAACCAAACCAGCCTCCATTCACCTGCGACTCGGCTCCTTCCAACCTGCTTTGCTCGCAGGGCGTCTTCCATTTACACTGTTATGAGTGGGAATGGAACAACCACTCAATCATGGGAATACAACCTAAGAAAATAATCTCCTCAGGAAGTGACCAGCGAACAGGCTAAAATAGGGCAAGGACCTGCTAGGACGAGCTAGGGCGGGAACCTCGGGACGTGAGATGGTTTGTTTGGGTGGCGAGGGTTTCGGAACGGGACTCGGCGAGGTTTGGGCGTACACCTTGAGCTCGACAGAGGAGCACAACTTTTCAGGGTGCCGGTAGACAAAAACGCGCAGGAGTTTCGCACAGCATCGTCACAGGCATGTGGGCCTTTCGCACGGGCAGGAAGGTTACCATCTTGTAGTTTAGCGGGGTAGGTTTGAGTGGCTTAATTTGGCAAGCCATTGTTCACATGGTTACCCTGTGTAAAGTTTCGGCGTTTTCTACCATGATGTGATGAAACCAGCTCCAGGTCGAGAACTCGTCAGACAGATCATTAACAGGGTGGCAAATGACGAACTCAGGGTTAGGGGTGAAACAGCTGCCCAGTCAGCATCGCAAAGACTGACACACACACCACGCGCAACTGGCGCTCACTGCCACCCCTGAGCCTCGAAAATCGAACCACAAAACACGTTGTGGTGAATTTCGTGGAAGTAGCCCCACATTGCACTCACAAATGACAGCAGCGCACCGCGCGCAACTTGCCCAGCGCACTGTGGAGTCGGACCACGTGGAAGCGCAACACACGCTCTTAAAAACTTGACCAGGTCCCAGCAACCCTCGCGCCGCACTTGCAATTTTCGGCAGAACCAAACAGCATTCAAAACGCACATTTTCCCGCCACAGGAGCAATCCCCAGTAACATTAATAACAGACACCAGAAACAAACCGCAGATGTCACAGGATCGAATGTCCCGAGGAAAGGTTTGCTCAATGTCGCACTATCAATCAATACAAGGTGCTTTTATACTTCCAGATTACATCAGGTAACCAGGTTTATCCTATCCAAAGGGAATAGACCCTTCTAGAAATAGAATCACCATGCGTATAGCCACACAAGGCTATTGGCTTTAAGGGATTACGGCAGGATTACGCTAGATATAGCGCGCCAGTACATCCCGAGCCTGGTCGGTGATATAATTATAATAACAAGATAAACCAAAGGATAATGGAAAATGAGGAATAGGAAACCAAATGAAATGAGATAAAGACCAAATGAATGAGGATAAAAAGAGGAATGAAAGAGAAAGGAAATATGGAAAGGGGAAATTGGTGTAACGGGGTCGTACTTTCACACTTCCCCCCCTCAAAGCTGGGTGATAGAAGTAACACCCTGCTTGACAAGGTAGTCGCGAAGAGGACGACGGGCGTTACCCATGTCGAGTTCAGAGACGCAACGTCAGAAGTATCAAAACCCTTCCAGCAAAGAAGAAGCTCCAGAGTGCCATTCTGACAACGACGGTGTTCGCGCACATAATTGTCCCATGGCGTGGATGAACACGGGCGACGACGCTGGTTGGCATTCGGTGTAGGGCGTGTTTTGGTCTTGATAAGGTTTAAGAAGCTGGTATGGAAGGTGTTATGGTTCTTTCAAGTGGCTGGTTGGCGGAAGCGGAAGGTGACTGAAGTGACATTTGCTTCAACGAGGATAGACCCGCAGTAGCAAGGTTGAAGCTTGGATGGAAGCTGGCTGATGTCGAGATTATGGTCTCGAGAAGGGTAGTGATGAGTTGCCACGTGCTTGTGCTGATGTTGGATGTCCAAGAGGGCGCTTGTGTGGTCGATGTACAAGATGGTGGACGATGGCGATAAAATCGGAAGCCAGTTGGACTGTGGTTGGTATGGTTAGCTGTTGTGGTGTGATCGGGTGGCGTCCGTAACAGACGAAGTACAGCGTCTGTCCAGTAGCGGCGTCAGGAGCATGCTTATAGGCAAACTCCAGAACGGGTAGATGCAAGTCGGAGTTGGAGATGTGAATGGTTGGAATAGTGTGCTGTAACGTGCAGATGAGTGGCTATGTTGTCCGAGCTGTGCATGCTGTTACCCGCATCTGGTCCACGTATGAAGATCTCAAAGTGTTCGTGGTATGGCAGTCATAGTACTGCTTCTGTCGAGCTGGTCCATGCCGTAGTGTTGTCGCGAGTCGTATCCACTGGGCATCGGAGTGCTGCGGATTGGAGAGCAGAATTACTAGTAGTAACCCTGTCCACCACGCGGTCTGCTACTCACATTGCCTTGAGTACAACAGCGCATGCGAAGTGCTGCTCAGCGTATCCCTTGTGTTCAGAACCATGCGAGGGGTTGGTACCACAAACGCGGAGCTGGTAACTTCCAGAATCGGCGCCAAAGTAGTTTCCCTCGGTGGTTGCTCAAGCAAGGAATTTGTGCTGCGTAGATATCCCATAGTGATGGGTAAGGACAACTGGGAATATTAGAGGTATTCCCAAATAATCCTCTCCCGTTTCCAAATGAGCATTGCTGACAGCCAATCTAGTATGACCTCATGCACATCCAGTTTAGCACGGAGGCCATTGGTAGGCATCGGTGTCTGGGCGCACATATTGGGATAGGTCTTCTGGTGCCATCATGTGTTGTCTCATTCTGTTACTGTCCTTGAAGTAGCGCTGATGTCGAAGATGTCTCAGCTACTCAGCATTAATGTTGAAGTCTGCTCCATTTCGGCAAACAGGGGTGCTGTTGGAGGTACGCGGAGTCCACTATCCGGAGTGGCGTCGGCGCTCCATTCCACGCCTATCTGCTTCCGTGGAGTTGGTGCTGGTGATGGATTGGTTGTGACGCAGGTTTTATGACTTTACGAAAAGCCATAGGCCATGAGGACTTGTATACCGGTAGAGTACCGTAGTCCTCCCATCCTCATAAGAGCAAATATCTCCTGCTCTTGAGGGTATATGGCATTGCCATAGCTATTCCAGTGCGTAGTGGTATCTCCTTCCCACTAGCTGGAAATCATAGTACTGTGCCTGGCCAGGACTTAACGATCCACTGGAATATAATCCAGCATTATCTCCATTGAGCGGAGAATCATCCATCAGGGTTTGGTTGTGACTGTTGTGTCGAGTCTTCTGCTGCGGCGGTGGCGGCGGTTGCGACGACGGCGACGGCGGCAGCTGCTGCAGAGAATTCTCTCAACTCGTACCGGTTGAAGGAGAATCCATCAACTCCCCCTTCCCAGTAGAGTGTTCCTGATGGGTCTAACAGGCGAAACTACCAGGAACACGTGCACATTGGTACACATGTGTTGCTCCATTGCTGCCGGTGATTGTTTCATTTGAGGGTGTGAAGAGAAATTTGCTTCTCCCCTCAATGTATCCACGGGTAGCAATCCCTGGTATGCTCATCCGTGCCTCCGATGTACGGTCGGTAGAGCGCGTGATCGTGTTGTAGTAGTCCGCATCTCCCTCATTTGTTGACACCTCGTGTTGCTTGACGTTCTCCTGCATCGTCGAAGTTACGCTGATGCTTGTAACGCTTCGGCTTCTGGTAGAATCGCCTCCAATGCATGTGCCGTAGGGTCGCTAGTGAACGAGTACTTGCCGGATTAGAGGTTAATTACTCCCCAATCTGTCAAGCATCGTGACATGCTCGGAATTTTCTTCCACGCAGGTCATTAACACCTGGAATCGCGACGCATGATTGGTGTGTCGCCTCGTGAGGTCGATGTTGAGACTGCTTCAATCAATCACTTCGGATGGCTGAGATTCTTGATGAAGACGAATCGATCAGCTCCTGTTACGAAATAGTGTCTCGCTGGCCTTGACGAGACGGGTTCACTGCGTCGTCATTGCGTGCGAAATCTGCTCTTTCGCAGCAACTTGAACTTGGGAGCATTGCAAGAGAAAACGGCTACTTCTCTGCAATCCCATAGCTTGTCGATCAATTT